GGACCCCAGAAACTCCGGCCGAAAAATTACATTACGTGAAACGTCTATTCATATATCTCGTCTGTGGTGACCCAATCTGACTACTATACCGACCTGAAAATTCGGAGGTGATTTTAGCGTCCTCTTTACATGGATGGCGGACAGTTGAGAAACTAGGCACTGAATTAGTATTGATGGGCAGCCAGCTGTAGCGTGTGCGTAAATACATGTGAATTGACTATGGGAGGGATTGAAAAAGACAGTGCAGTATTATCAGATGGCAGACTGTAATACACGTTGTAATTCGTTTAAGAAATACACGTTTTAGGTTCCCCTGATCATATTTTAACTATTAAAAAAAAGACATTTTTTTACTATGCTAATGGACGTGCGTTCATATATTTATACTATTAATACGATTGAGTCTGAACAACCAAATGAATTCTATAGAATTTTAAATTTTTAAATCTGAAAATATTTGAGCATCCTGTCCTATTTGTCCTCTTTGTTTAGTAATTTAAAAAAACGCGGACTCATTAAAATCAATCATTTGAAATGATCCTATACCTCGTCTGTGATCTAATCCTAAATCGATCTATAGTTGACGAGTGTATCTGAATTTTTGTGAGAAATTAATACACAATGAAATACTTTCGCGATTGTTACGACAAATGGAATGGTTTCTGAAGAACGCAGCCATTAGATCATATTATTTGTTATGTAATTAATAATTGTATTAATTACATACTAAATAATAATCCCCAGGTCTCACCACGTGGAGGTTGCTGCGAGTGGAGACCCGAAGGGAGATAGATGGAATCAAAGTTCCATCGATCTCCCTTTTAGCTAAGCTTAGCTGGATTACTAAACTAGAGAGATAGAAGGAAGCAATGTTCCTTCGATCTTCTAGTTTAGTTGTACCAAGTAATTATTTCGTTTGAAAAGGGGTGAAGCTATATTGTGGGATACGCGACGCGACGCGATGCTGAACCGTGCGGCAGATCTTCGGATCGAATCAACACTGCCCTTGGTAGATTGATTTCTATTTCTAGAAATCGATCCATCATGGGTAGGCGACTAGATCTTTCGGACAAACTGGACAGCCGATCACATGTTTCAATCGATGAAACAGCGGTGATCGAAGCTAGGAACCAGAGAACGAGTCGAGAGAAGCTACTTGTTAAATAATTACTTGGCAATATTGGGAGACGCATACAATAGGGACTTAAAATTAACGTCGAAGCTCAAGTCTGGTCAAGTTAAAACTAAAATTCGGACGATAGAAGGAAACAAAGTTCCTTGGATGTTCTGGTTTAGTTGTACCAAGCAATTATTTGGTTAAAAAGAGGGACGAAGTTAATTTGAGGGGCACGCGAAGCGACGCGACGCGACGCTGAACCGTGCAGCGGATCCGAGGATCGAACCTACTGCCCTTGCTAACTAGATCTCTATGGGATAACGGACGGCTGCGACTCCGAATCGAAGGTCTCCATTGCTCCAATGCAACCCGCCGGGAGCCCGAAGGACCCGACTCAAGTTGTCTGACATAGAGAGAGTACCTGAAACAGTGTCGACTTTCGCTGGAAGGTATGCGTTTCCGCAGAATACGGAAACTCCACACCTTCCAGCAAAGTACCATTTTCCCTCGATCGAGCTACCAAAGGGAAGGCGATTAGATCTTTCGGATCAGCTACACGGCCGATCACATGTTTCAATCGATGAAACAGCGGTGACCGAAGCTAGGAACGAGGGAACGAGCGAGAGACAAGCTACTTATTGAATAATTGCTTGGTAGGACGCGGAGATACATATAATAAAGAAGGCTTCGACGTTAATTTTAATACTCGCGACGAAGCTTAAGACTAATCAACTTGGAATTAAAGGTCCCTCGGCGGTTGTGGCGTTTTCCCTCGATGTCCTTGCGATTAATCCAAATTTAAACTGAAATCAAAACTCATATGTATATTAGTGAGATATGGTAGGAAATTTAATAAACACTTTAAAATTATCTATCACCTAGCTAAAGGGAATTGAACAGAGTATATTAGCAAAATGTTACAAGAATTTTAGCTGAGAAGTAAAAATAAAAATCTTATATTAATCAGTGTCGAACAACGAACACGAACGAAAAAACGAGTCAGAGACATCGAAACAAATACGGTATATGCATCGACACAATGTTATCCATATCAAAACGAACACTCCTAATAATGAAAGAAACTTGGATCGAGACACCAAGTTGAATCAACACCAAACAATCAAACGAAATGGAAGAATCAAACAAAGTACCTCCGTAGAATATTACGAGAATTCGAGCAAGAACGTAAAAATATGAATTCATGAATTTGTATAGAAACAAATATAGTGTATGATTGAAAACAATATTATATTATTATATCCTGCAATATTATACATATCGAAGCAGTCACATAAATTCGCAAAACAATGTAAAAGTAGAAACAGAGAAAAGGAACATTCATAATAACCAAATAAAATCAGATAGATAAATAAAGTTGAATTCACATCAAACAAACAAATAAAAATAATAAAATATAAATAAGTGGAGTGGACTTACTACTTGTTGCCAGTACATAGGGTAGTTACCATAAGGGCCAGCTGTAAAGTAAGAAAATATTCATATTATAGCAACATCGGTTAGATAAACAAGGCAAAATCAGTTCATTGAAGCAAAATTGGCATCAAATGATAGAATAGAAGAAGGGAGAGAATTTTTAAACAGTTCTTACCGTTGGTCATCACCGTCCGGCACTGGTCAGTAGTGGTCAGTAGTGGCAGGAACGCGAATCAGCACTGGTCAGTAGTGGTCAGTAGTGGTCAGTCATGGTCAGCTGTGGTCAGCAGCGGCCAGCAGAGGTCAGCAGCGGTCCCCGGTTCTCCTCTGGCTATTTGTACACTCCCGAATTCGCGACGCGACTGAAGAAATCTTCGCAGTGACCCTGCTTATATGTCTAAGGTGATGAAAGGGTGGGGAGACCAGTCAGAGCCAAAGTTGAAGATAACAGGTAAGACTGTCTCGTCTACACAGAAACTATTTCGATTGGTCCCACCTCTTGATCATTTCTGGATCTTCACTGGACCGCTGACCTTGATGTCAACCTCACTGTTGACCACCACTGACCATAAGCTACTCATTGTTGATCATCGACCCATTAAAACCATTACGAAGATTAAAGCCTTCTTACGAGGATTCCCTTACAATTTGATGCATGATCTTTTTAACATTTTGTTCCACTTTGGATGAGTGTATCTCGTTAATTTTTGTCTTTTTGTACGTCAGTTCGAACAATTGCCATACTGAGCGAAAAATTCGGAGGTGATTTCAGCGTCCTCTTCTCATGGATGGCGGTCAGTTGAGAAATTATTCACTGAATTAGTATTGATAGGCAAACAGCTGTAGTTTTGCGTAAATCCATGTGAGTTGACTATGAAAGGGATTAAAATTCATTTCTGAATCTGTTGGTAACGTTGCGGGTGACACAAAAATGGTAATGGGGTCCCGGGACTCCAGAAACTCGGGCCGTAAAATTACATTAGGTGAAAGGTCTATTCATATACCTCGTCTGTGGTAAAGCTATCGAGCATCGTTACCAAAGTTAACTCCTTTACCTCGTTCGTCAACGTCGGTAACATCAGCAAATTCACGAAGTTTGCTTTTGATGCGATATCGACAGAAGTTTTAATGAAAAATTATTTACGCGTTGTACGGTCTAAAATATATCTTCTCTGTGCTATTGTTTTCATTTCGTTGAAAAATAAAAGAATTCCTGTAATTTCATTTAAATTTCATATCCTACCATAATAAGCGCTATGGTCGTTTTCTGTAGCCTGTTGGTAATGCTGCAAGTGATTCGAAATTGGTAATGGGACTTTGAAGCCCCAGAGAAATGGGGCCCTAGAAATAAATTAAATGTAAGATCTATTTGTATATCTCGACTGTGTTATCAATTATGAGAATTGAAATTAAACGTGGCAAGAGTTACGATTTGCAAACCGATCGAAATGTTAATTGATTTGGACCTGGTGGAAACGTAATATTTATGATAAATTCTATGAGAATGTCGCAGCTAATTTGTTCATGTTATTTGTCATATAATTAATAATTGTATTACACATGCCGCAGGTCTGCATTAGGAATATATAAAATATCTAAAAACAAGTATAATTATTAATATATGGTATTCGTTGAGGAACCCTGATAACTTTAATTGCATATCCTTGTACTCTAAATTTTCACGTACCATTTAAAAGCAGCTAATTGAATTAGAAGCTGCCATCCATGTACTAAAATAGAATGTAATAATATGCATTGATGCCAATGCCAAGTCTACTGCGTACTACAGCTACATAATGGATGAAATGAGAGAAAGTCTGGAAGAAGTAATTGTAACACAAAATTTTAGTGTTCAACATCGATCTGACAATTCACTAACTTTTCGATCGTGATCTTGTATACATTGACTACACAAAATTTGTATCAGTAATTCTAACAGAATTATAATGACCATAACAGTTGAAACTATTGAAAATGAAGAAATTTATTAAGTTGATGCTATAGTGGTCTGCTCGAAAATATGAAACACGAATGAAATAAATAACAAAAGAAAGCTTGTCAAAACATATCTCAGAATGAAACATTCCTGTCAGGCAGCAGCATCGAAAGAAACTTTTTAACTTTAATGTTATGTATCATCCTATATAATTGGCTCCAGTATTTCAAGTACTATCATTATACAGAAGCTCGATAAGAAATGAGATTCACGAGCAGAGAATTTACTTCGTTAGTTGCCACTACAGGCAGGTACTTTGTAAAAAGAAGTATTATGTCATCGCGTTTAGGTGGGAATAATTAATATTTAACTAGATAGGTTTTGTACGTGCAACCATTGACATTGATGAGGTCGTTTCTAATTTAAATAATTTTATTCGTCGTAATAAAGAAGAGCTATACAAAGTCAAGTGAATAAGAACATAATAAACATCATTAAAGAAAACAGGGTGAAAGGATGAGGTTCAACGAACTGGTGTTTCTTAACTTATCAAATTATATTGTGTTTTGTATTTCGTAAATATTCGCTTCTATGTTACATGGATACATTTCTTCATTCTATCTCCTGACCAATAATGCCTAAATATTTAATATCCGGTCCTTCTTGGAGAAAGTTTTCTGACCCCTACTCTACTGCCTTCAGGGTAAATGGACCGAAAGTTCGATTGACGGTCCAGTACATCATTTTTGTCCGTCATAGTATCGCAGACAAAAGTATTAGAAAGGATTACGTATTCAACACCGACCGTTAAATAACATTTTCTAAAAACTTGCGTATTCACACGTGTTAAGAAAAGAGAGTCGACAGGTGGAACAATAGATCTTACATTCCTTTCAGGACTCTACCTAATAATGAGTCACAAAAATGAACATTTATTTCATTTTCATAATTTTAAAAAAATCGTTAAAAAAACAATTTCTATGTAGCAAAGTTTTACTCTATTTATTATATAATAAAGCCTCGTAACAGTTTCAGATGAAGTACACATTCAATCGTTATAAAATTATTTATTTCGACATACACTCGTTAATCATTTATTCGTTCAGTCACACCTTAACATAACAAAAATTGGTTTTTTTACATCACCCAGTGCCGTTCTACGTCCCGGTTTCTTAGCAAGGAACCATTCAAGGATATCTTCAATATCGTATTGTTTGTACTAAGGTATCGTCAATTAAAAAGATGCTTTTTACTTAACAAAAGATCGAATAATTTACAGTTTACAAATCGTACGATTAGTTAGATCCTTTTTTCATCAAAACTATAACCGCCGTACTACAAACGGGTCATTAAGAAACACCAAATTAATTGTCTAAACCGGTTTTCGATACTCGATCACGTGCCACTACTTTAACCCAGAGTCCACCTTGTGCTCTGATCGTCATTCTAAATTTCGCTCTCACTTTCTCTTTTCCAGGGACCGATTGTAACCGACATTTCCTAAGGATCGCGCTGATCATGGATTTCATTTCGAGCATTGCGAACTTGTGCCCTAAAAAACATTCGACAACGGTCAAGGAAGGCGTTTGCAGAAACTGTGGAAATAAAAATTTATTTTAAACACTATTTTACCGATGCAGTTCCTCGGCCCAGCGCTGAAGGGTAAGTAAGCGTACGGGTGCCTTTTCTCAGAATTTTCTGGACTGAAACGTTCGGGTTTGAACGCTTCTGGGTCGGGAAAATGGTGTGGTAATCGATGCGTGCTGTAAGGGGATATGAGCACACCACAACCCACCGGTATCACGTGTTTTCCTACAAGTTTTCATTTTTTTTTTTTCATATAATAAATTCAAACTAAAACCAATATTCACGAATGAATCGAACACGAGGCAACATTTGGCGAAAACTAATAAATTTTATAGTATAACGTAATCTCGATAAGGCTTTTGTTATATTGGAATAAACATCGATGACATACCTATTTTGACATCTTCGCCAAGTATCCTCGCTATAATCGGCACACTGGGGTACAATCTGAGTGACTCTTTGATACACATTTCCAAGCATCTCATTTCCTTCAAATCCTTCATCGTAGGCAGTCTTGAGTCGTCGTCAAAAATATTATCGAGCTCTTCTATGCACTTCTCTTGCCATTCAGGATGATTGGCCAGGAGAAAGATCGTCATCGCTGTTGCAGTACCGACTGAATCCTGGCCGGCTAGCATGAACGTGCAACATTCTTCGACGATATCTTCGTCGGTGAAGCAAGGATTTTTCTCGTTCATCTCCACCATATACTCGAGCAGAGACATTCTCTGACTTCTCTTCGTTTCGTCACTGGCATTTACGTCTTTATTCTTCAATTGCTCACGTTTATCTTTCATCATTTTGAAGCAGGTATCGAAGAGATCTCTTCGTTGCTTCTCCTCTTGTTTGCCGTGCTTGGTCAATCGATAAATCCATTCGATCAATAGCCAAGGCCTCACCAAACGATACAAAAACATGATTTGCCCTCTGTAAGAAAATTTCGAATATTCATTTTGTCGCGTGGAAACTTTGGCCGTTTGTCTTTCGAATTATCGCAACGAGGATGTTATTGGTCGTACGAAATACTACGGAAACGTGTTTGGATTCTCACTTTCTGAAAGGAAGATCGTCGTCCGTTGCTGCGCCGGATGAGCGTCGACTCATTCGATTTATTCCCAAGACAGTTTCTGTAAACAATCACTGACGACTTCAAACATTGTTTAACTATCCACGGTAGCGAAGTGCAATGTCTAAAATACACTCGAATATTCTCGCTATGCTAAGCAGACTTTTCATTTCAATAAAAGCTCACGATGCAGACACGGTCATTGTGTATTTGATTTTGATTCACATGCTAATTGATATTGAAAGCAAGGCATCTTTGCAACCTGATGAAACAGTTAGCATACATTGACTGTTTGAAACCTGACTAGATTTCAGGATACCACGATGAATACCAAATTCATTGTGTACTTTTAATGGTAAAACTGGTTTCCGACAGCACGTACATATTATTGACACGTTAGCGAAACCACATAGTTAGGATGTCACCACTTTTCATACGTATAGAAACCGTAGTCCGCGACAGATATCGACAGAATATCGATTGAAACGTATTATTAATCTTCGAAAATATTGGATACTTGTCTAGTCTGACGTAAAATCACTTAACGAGTAAAAGTGATGCAACATTTCAGCATGTTGTCAAGAATTGCCGATTACGATAAATGAATTGCAAAAGATCGGATTCTTCGACGAGGAAAATGTTGACACTGACTCATACCCTAAGTGCATTTACGTGCAATATTGCAAATCATAGGTGGCACAGGTAACTTCACAGAAGCTGCGCCTTTTATTATTGTACGTCGCGTGCCTTTGAATAATTAATTCGCAAATAACGGGAAACGAAATAGCAGGAAGAATGCAAATAATTTAGAGTGTGCCCAACACCTATGATATAAGCCTTCGTGCTACGAATATAAATTGTACGCTTAAAAGTTTCGCGATCAACCAATATTTCTCCATTACGACACGAGAGAAAGAAATTCTTCGACCGATCGAACGAAGAACAGCAAAGTTAATTTGAGAAAAAATTCTTCTTTTAATCACTATTACAACAAATACGAATGCAATAAAGAAATCCAAGTGTTGTAATGAAATTAGAGACAAATATCTGTAGGCATGCAGAGTTAACAGGTTAATAATCTGTAGAATATTCTTCTTGGTAGAAAAAATGTGTCAATATTTACCACTCAGGATGTCATACACGGAATCGTTGATGAAAGGAGTGATATTAATTTCTTGGTTGTCTTTTTCGAGGAAGTCGTTCATCAAGTTAGTCGCACATTCGGCGAAGGTACTTGTGAATCTCTCGAGAATATGAAGATGAAAAGCCGGCTGTAGGAACTTCCGGTGAGTTCGCCAGGTTGGCACGTCCCTCGTGATTAAGCCTTTTCCAAGGAAATTGTCAAGTAGTTTGTAGAAAAATATCTTGTGCGTGTGCTTCATACTGCTGAGAACCGCTTGCATGTCCTCTGGTTCGAAAAGCATCACGTACGGGAGTCCTGTCAGCCATATCCTGATGATACGACCATAAGTTTGATTCTCGTGTGCCAATCTATGAAGTACTGGAACGATATTTAATAATTTCTCAGGTATTCGTCGCTATTTTGATAATGTTCTGTTGTTACCAAGGGAACATTTTGAATTGAAAAATTCGGAAAATTATTGATAATTGTGTGGATGTAGTGTAGTTCATTAGAAAACATAATAATAATATTTTTCACTTACGATTATCTTTGAGAGCACACTTTGCATTCCCGAGGAACGGTACAGTTTTCGGACCATTGAGACTCGAAACAAAGATGATGGTTCGAATGTAATTTTTCAGAACGTATAGAACGTAGATACTGGCCAAAATGGCGAGGTAAGCCCACAGCTCACCTGGTGCTTGGTCCCACTAAAGAAGCAAGAAAATGTTTGGATGAACACGACGATGCTTCGTAATAAATTTTCATAAAATTATGTACTCGATCGAATGCGTGTACAAATAACATTTATCGAGACAATTTCGAGGATTCGTTGATACCATCTGTCAAAACTTACTTCTGCTCTGACCTATTTATCTTTGAAATTCCATTTGTTTCCACTTTTATTCATTTCTAATTTGTAAATATATTCTATATTTATATAAATATAAATAACTTTTCCTGCAACATCGAGAAAAGAAAACAAATTGTTATATTTTCGAACTGCATCGTACCAGTATCGTTATTTTAATATTTACGCAAGGATCCTTTACTATTCTTTACTAGAAAATAAGTTTTGAACTGTAAACTTTGACAAATTCCAAATACAACCAAAATAAATTTTCAACGCACAAACTATTTTCGTAACTTTTTCAAAGATCACTGACACATAAATTGTTTTCCCGCCGTTACTGTTGACGCTTTTATTATCACGTCTCGGTTAATCATTTCGACGTTTGTTTCCCTGTTTGCGGACAAAAGAAAAATAAATTAGCACGATTAATCGGAGTCTTGGAAACGTGTACACGTCTACATTGTTATTATCGGACCTCCCGTTTTGCTAGAAAAATTTCTTTTATGATCGTTAGTGTGTCTGGGCATCGCGTGTTTGGAATGTACTTAAAATAAAAAAGTGAAATACGATGCTAATAAATGTCAAGGTAGCGCTACTTTAATGTTCGATTATTTCGACAGATTACTGTTTAAATTAAGATACAAACAATTTTTATTTAGACATGAAACGAGTACGCATTCTCAACGTTTGTATTATTGAATTAACTGTCTTAAAAAATATGCAAAATAGAAATCATTTTATTTGACTAGCATGTGTCTGTAAGAGACATTCATTTCGACGCATTAACTATTCTAGATGGATCCTTTATTAACTGGCTTATTCAGACGTGTTATCGGTATGCATACATGCCGATCGAATAATAATTTCTCATAACAGAGAAGAAGGAATTTCGATAATAATAATAATAATGACAACGTGACAAAATACTAGACCGTTACAAAATAGTATAAGTTTCATTTGAGATGGTAAAAAAATTAAATTTCAACCATAAATAATCGTGACGATTGTTTCGCGTGAATTGTTTCTATTAAATGTGCAATCAGATGATTTTGAATCACTTACAATTTGCTGTGTTGTAACGACCATATTCCCACAATATACGTTTCTTTAGAATTTCATTACACTGGAACACATTTGACAAAATGTTTAGAGCCGCGACATGGAACTTCGGCGTACCCATAGAGATTCAGGCTATTTAAGCGTCTGCTCCCACCAGATACGCGTGGACCACTCAAGATTTGTTCAAAGTCCGTAAGTACTTAGAATACGTCACACCTTGACCATCGAGAGCCACGTAAAAATTTGTCAATCTAACTGTAAACTTTATCACTTACTAACTGCGTCGCGTCAACGATTATTAATACACCGATTCTACATATTTTCGACAGTTCTCACAACTGATTCAGAAAAACAACAATATTTTTAAAACACACGAGTAGCCGAACGAATCGTTCATGAATCGACTTTGTTTGTTGACGTCGTGCAAACTTCCAAGAAAGATCTCTGCCATTCGGTCACAAAATACGCGTTCAAAATTCACATTCGTCGGTTTTAGTTAACGCAGATTCACTAGAATCGTTCGAAAAGAATCATAAAATGTTGTCTCGCTAATGCAGTCTAGCTTTTACGTATGTCAACGCAGTAAATAAAGTTTTCCCCGTACTATTTCTATTCAAACGTTACCGGGGATTCACTGGACCAATTTTATCTCACCTTGATGAACACCATAGGAATACCATAGCCCTTTATGTCACAAAGCGTAACGAACACCTCTGCACTCGCGATTGGAGTGATCGGTCAACTAAACCCTCACTGATGGCTTGTAGTTGTTTATATAGGTGTAATGGTGGAGTATGAGGTGTCTTACGATGCCTATTAACAAGCAGTTCACAAGCAAATCACGTATCGTCGGTATGTGCAGGCGTGCTTTATAAAATATCGTTCCCGCTCAGCTCCTGGGAGGCGATCACCAAAGATGATGCTTTGCCGCGCATCCTTCCTGTCAGGGTCGCCCTGGGAGAAAAGAACCTCGAAAAACTTTGCCCATAGAATAACTTATCGCGTTGCCTTTGTTAGTAATTGATAGACGAAATTTTGACAGGAGAGAATTGTCAAAATTATATCTTTCACAACGTAACTGTAAACTTAAGTCACATTTTAAAACAAGTTTGTCATTAAGCAATAATTATATTATTATTAAAAAGTCACTATAATCACGTAGCATTTTACACGTTATTTCTCGAAGGGTATCAAAGGCATATGTATAACTTGTTTTTGAGATTTTTTTTTTTAAATGAATGGTATATTATTTGATATATTTTTAACGTGAAAAGTAGTTTGATTGAGCTACGCAAAATAGGAAAACCTTGGAATGTATGTTGTATCATGTTTGTGTTGTAGAAACCTCTTCCTCTTGCAGTTCTTTATAATATGCAAATTGGTTGTCGAATACAATTAACTGCGATTTACAGAATACCCGGTGTGTATCAGTCTGCGATCTTACGATTCGACTTGAAGACGTGCCAAGTATTTTATTATGCGACTGTTATCCTTGCAATTTGTTCTTATTGTGTTTTCTTTTTGTTGCATACCGCGTCAAAGTTGTTGTTCGAAATGAAATTGACGCGAACTGTGAATAACTATCTACGTCTAATCGGTGTCCTTCTCGTACCTGGAAAGATGTACAAACGTTCAAACTCTATTCAAATTATTCGAATTGGTTAAATATTATTCGGATACATAAAGTATTTGGACAACGTAAATTTATGCGTGTCGAACTTTACTTTCTCCAGATTCTTTATTTACACATCGTTATCCCACTATGTCCAACTTTATATTTCCCATGGATGCGCGTACAAATTTTAGATGATACATCTGCTTGTTAAACGATTAGATTAGGTAACGCTCATGCAACTTCCATAGAAAGTCAAAGGAGCCAATAGTCTGTTGAAACTAGGCTTGCCATACCTGGATCATAAGAAAAGAATTCTATTTAAAGGGTATGGAGGAAAACATGTCTTCAATAGTGTTAACATTTACTTGGTATCATTGTTCAATATTGGACCAATATATTCAATGAAATTGTTAATGACCAAATTAAAATATATACAAGTTTTATTAGCATCAGCTTTATACTTAATAATTATCATTATAGTGTTATGGTATTTTTGTAAGTATTATAATTTAGCTATTTTTAGTAATTTTGTACTTGTGTTCGATTAATTATATTTTAATATTTCCAAATCTCTGTGGAATATTGTTTCTGAATTAAAAGACAGATCAATTCATCATATTATTAGAAATTTTTGAAAAAATTAAAATTTAACTTTTATCGATACAGTATGTACCCCTTAATTAAAGTGTGCAATCACAGACGAAGTATACGAGTACACCTTTCACCTTATGGACTTTTGTGGCCCAATGTGACTGCCATACCGACCTGAAAATTCGGAGGTGATTTTAGCGTCCTCTTCACATACATGGCGGTCAGTTGAGAAACTATTCACTGAAATAGTATTGATAGGCAAAGAGCTGTAGTTTTGCGTAAATCCATGTGAGTTGACTATGGAAAGAATTAAAATTCATTTCTGAATCTGTTGGTAACGTTGCGAGTGACACGAAAATGGTAATGGGTCTCTAGGACCCCATACAAATGGGCCGAAAAAATACATGGATGTAAGGTCTACTCGTATAGCTCGTCTGTAGTACAACTTGCATCAATACTGAGCTGTGTTTTATCGACATCTGGTGTTCGGAAATGGAATCACATATGTAGTAAAGCAACGGGTAACTAATTCGAGACAAACTCATATTAATTTAAAGTTATGGTTTTAGTTATAGCAGCATACAATTGCTAATTAGTAAGTACGACATCATTTTTAATTTATTAATAACTTTTTAATAGATATTTAATAGCTTATACGTGCAATAGTATATCTCGTGCACACTTTCATTTCATACTATACAGTATGCTATTATTAGCAGTTATCAGTATGTTATTTTCATTAAAGAATTTGAATTATTTTGAAAGAACGACAAATTTTGACGCATCGCACTGTGGCTCGGCGTCATGGTCCACGACCATCGGTTGCGCGCGCATCACGGCGCGACTCGCGGCTTTCAGGAAAAAATTGAACGTACCGCTCGCCAGTAAACTGTGAGACTTCCAGCGATTCGTCAGGTGAAACTCTGTGTCAACGTTAAATTCTATTTGTTAATCGCGTCATAAAATTTCTTTCTCTAAAACCCGTGCCGTTCACCGTGAGGCGTTATTATTTTTGACATTCACGATTTCGGAGCATTTTACAACCGTATCGGTTAGCTGTCAGATTGTCGGAGACACTGCAATGCATGTCACCTAACTTCTCTCGCAACCGTACCGTGGTAGTGGAAAAGCAACATCGGATGGATATCAGTCGGCTACGAGCCGTGAAGGAGGACAGAGTCATGGAAGCCTGATCGATCTGAACAACCGTGTGTTGTCTCGCGCATAGCGTTCGCCGTTGTCTCGAAAACGCCGATTGTTTTAGCACCGTTTTAGAGGACTTTATAGATTCTGTCTCGCGTACGATGCGTAGAGTAAACTCGGGCTGGTGACATCAAGAAACGAAAATAGATGTCATCGCGCAGAGCCACGTGACAGGGCGACAATTCATGTGACAGCGAGCGTGACACGCTGCAAAACAGTTAAATCGTTTGACAATTCGACGCACTTTGCCGTGACACGAATGGTACGGAGGAACAGTAATAAAAGAAAACAGTCGGTTTCGCCGGAAAACGCGCAGTGAAGTTGTCTCGGTGGGTGCTATTGACCGCCATATTCAGGACAATCGTTCGAGCCCAGAGTTTCGAAAAACCTCGGAAGGTGGTACGTCGGTGACACAGGCCTTGAAAGGTTAAGAATCGGTTCTCTCGAACGTATAGTCGCCGTAAAACGTAAAATCGACAAAACGGGCATAGTGGAAAATCTGTCGTCGAAATGGAGTTCAAGTTCAACGTAAATAAACTCTTACCCAGGAAGATCAACAAGGTCACGCATACTCTCATCCCGGAAGACTTCAAAGGCGATCGTCGTGAATTACAGTAAGCGCCACTTCATTATCGCCTTGATATTTGACTTTTATTTTTCCCCAATTATCATGGTCGAGCTCGTTTTCTTAAGTTTATTATTCCAATTGCAACAAAATCGTGCAGAGCAGACTATATGTATCTAAAATTTTTGGAAATTATTCGCGAGAAACGAATGTTAAATAATGCGATACGAGGAACCAATACGCCGTAAGAGGTGTTGTTTATCGTGGTCGTCATCTTCAAGGTTATCTTGTAATATGGAACATGCATGAAACTTTCACTTTGCGTCGATGACACAAGCATGGTCATTTGGAGTCATTCTTGCGTCTCGATGACTTCCCGGAACATAATCGGTTCTCCCTGCTGCGACATAAATAAACTGCATCCGACACGTTCTAGCACATTGACACCGTCGCATTGGCCGATATTGTCGGTAAAACGATGGCGAAAGTAAATTGTCAATGAAACAGATACACGCGTTGGCGTTAGCTCGAATTCATCGAAGACATTTCTGTGGAAAATTTTTTTGCAATATGGTTGATATTTATTGTAAAGCTCGGCGTCTATCCATCTTGATAATAACCTCCTCTTCCAGCTGTGCTTCTGTGAATGTTTACAATTCGTGTAACTCGTGTAACGTATTAATAATTACTAATAAGCTGCGCACATAGTACAAATTTTCTACTTAAACTGTAAAAAGACGATAAAATACGCAACAAACAGAGGATAATTACAATGACTTAATTTCAAATAACGAACAAAAATGAAGATTCATAATTTAGTAACGATAGATGTTTAAGAAGTAGCTAAATAATATTCTCAACATCTATTATGTAGATGTAGAATAATAATCCAACTGTACTCACAATCGATATACATTACTCGATGTTTATTATGTAACATGTACGCGTTGCATTGTAATTTATCTTGCATATTTCATAATTAGGACTTACGAAGTCAGTTCTGATTAAAATTCTTATCAGTACCAATAACATAAGCAACAAATCATATGCAAACGGCAACGTGAGCAATTAATAACGAATACTACGAAGGAAGAATAATACAAATAATAAACAACGTACGCGTCATTAATATCTGGAAACGGAAAAAATAATTAACAGCATAAATAACTAATGGCACGTTGAATAAAATTTTATTTGTCCAACGAACTAACTAAAAAGTGAATAAAACTTGTTACACCTGTTGAGAACAGGATCAACGCGAAATACGTAACGCTGACGCGTTGGTATATGTGTATTACTCGTTTATCTAGTATTCAGTTCAGAAAACCGGCTAGTTTCCTCCTGATTAGACCCTAACAACGCTACCATTTCAAATCTGAAGTTGCTCGGTCACTGCACATGCCTGACTAAATAAGATTCTGTTGACCAGCGTGCATTGCTATGTACATTTTTTATTAATAATTCGAATTATTCCTTGGTATAAATAGAGAATAACTTTAACTTATAATAATATATTTCTTACTATTTTCGTCCATGTATTACCAAAAATATACGACAAATATTTGAATTATGAAATTACAAATACAGTTTACGATCCCATTCTAAATAACAAAGTATTGAAAATAATGCTACACTCATTTTCGATGCCATCAGAAGATTGATAAAGAGATTGATAAACTCGAATCTTGTATGCCCCTTGTAAGTCCGCGTACCTTTAATCATTTTGTTCTTTCGTAATGTGGGCGTACAGAACGAGACTAGTGGGCTGAAAATAATGCACTCCAAAACAGCTTTGCACTTGGTTCTTTGTGATTCGTTTGTATCCCGCGAGCATCGTGAGAAATTAATTTTACACGACTTGTATTTACCTTTTTAATTGTTCACGCGATATTGGAGCCTTTTATATCCCGTTGCACCTCTATTTCGCAAGCTAGGAAACTAACTTTGTACGTTCGTAAATTCTTCAGCGATGACTCGCAACGCTCGCGGAAGTCTGTGATGAAATTGTGCCGCGGTTATTCGCCCTATTCGCCAGCTATTCGATCGCGACGATAAAGATAATAATTATCGCTTTTCTCGCACGATATATCTTTTCTGGCTCATATACCTCGGGCGCAATAAAAAAATCATACCTGAAGAATGCCTCGAATTCACGCTTCTGAAAAGATTACGCCCGCGTTACCATCGAGATTTAGAATCGCGATCGTTATCTTCCCTGGGATTATCTGATCACCATCCTACAGACAGCTGATTCAGTAAATTTTGAATTATGGAATCTCGATTGCGTAGTCTTCGAGACTTGTAACACCGATGATGTCAACCTTCGAACGCGGTATCTTAACAAATGAGAAATCTCAATCAGGAGAAGTCATTAACGTCTAGGAACGAGAAGTGTCGATACCTTCCATTCATAGGAGACAACATAGACGTCTTAAGGCTAATACAGTTTGAAACGGATGACCCTGGACTCGTAGGACCCGACACAGGTGACCCTGGATTTGTGAGACACGACACGAGCGACCTCGGATTTGTGGGACGCAACATGGGCGATTACGGACTCGTGAGATCCCACACAAGCGATCAAGGACTTACAGAACCCAACGCACACGACCCTGGAATGGTGGGGCCCAATGCAAGCGATCTAGAACTCCGTGAGACTCGATACGTACGACCCAGAAATCAGGGGACCCAACACTTTTACCGCCTCGGATCGTTTCCAGTGTCAATTTTCTGGTCCTGCGTAGGTCATTTTCATCTTATTCCACAATTCCTGTGCGTCTTCCTTCGCTGCAAAGCCTGTTCGTCGGTCAAATGCAACCGAATGTAAGCCACGGCTGGCTGATTCCTCGCCTCCCACTCCAATTTCACCTTACCTTCCGCTGACTACACTGGCTTCTTCGTTCGTATTCCTTGATCTAACTTTTTCAGGCTAAGAATCTCTGTAATTCTCAATAATAATCAATTCTTTTCGTTTCTTTAACAGAACTGTTGTAAATTGGCACACTTTAGTAATAGTAACGTTCGAGTATTTGTCCAATATCAGAATAGTAGTCTGTTCGAATTATCCCAGCGTTACTTGGGATTTTAAAAACTGATTTCGAAATCGTGGGACCAGAAATAGACGACAATCGTGAGACTTGATACAGATATACCAGGAATCATGGGACCCAACACTCGACGGACTTTGAATTCGTGAGATCTGACACAAATGATTTCAGGATCGTGGGATCAGGCACAGAGGCCCTCGCGATCGTGGGACCATGTTCTGTACAATCCAGAAATTGTGAGAACCAATACTATGAATACTAAGCAAACCAGATTCGTTCCTATATTGAAGAAATCCAAAATTTATCATTATAAATAGCCAAGAATCTTACAAACACTCTGCAGTAGGAAAACTGGAGCAAAAATTACAATTTTCATTGGACAAATAATAGATCAAAAACTAATATAATTGCTGGTTATTAACACTAATTTTCTGTAGTTACATTTACTTGATCTTCAATGTTAAGATATCGTTTAAAAGTAAATATTTGTTTTTCATTGATAAATTGGTTCAGAGGAATGCAGTTTCCTTATCGATCAATATGCAACAGACTGGAAAGTACAACTTGTTGGCAAAACTAATATATAGAATACTTTCGAAATTCTTTAGAAACTATTTCTGATTGGCGTCGATTTATTACACTAACGAGAGCAAGTAACCATCCACGCATTCCGTCGAACGAGAACGATCGATAAATCTACTTCCTCGATCACCTTGATCCTTCATCGAACTTGTACGTAATATTTCCCGAGTGAAGATCACCCATAACATTAACCCACATAGCTTGATACACATACTCCGTAGAACGTGAAAAGTAAACGCGGTAAACTTTAACGTGACCGTTTTACTGTTCGATTAACCATCCTCTATTTTTTGCATAATCTCCTACTTCTTACGTTGTTTTACTTTGTCTTATTATGCACAATACGCTTCTATCACATCTATAGTTGCAACTGTACATGGTATTATTAATTTATAGCATAACCAAAAAGTATTTCCTCCCCCAAAACTAAATAATACGTACAGAATCTTCTTTAACAGCTCATAAATATTTTATGTTTTACAGATTATATAATCATTATTCTGCGATAAAGTAATATTTCTTGCACATTTTTCGTAAGATTAATCAACTGGAAAGAAGATCAAACAATGAGTGTCTCCCTCTAATCTCGCATGATGCAGTCCCACGTGTACAAACCATGAGTATAGCAATCTCTCCATCATCGCATGCTACATTATCGTGCCAATTTAAATCTCGGTTGTATTGTTAGAACAAAGTATGTTATGTCAGCAAAGTAATAGGTACTTACGTTCGCGGGTTGTTGCTCGAACGGAAATTATTTATGGAGCCTCGCGTAATGAAACTATTCTCATTCATAATAAAATGCTAGCGGAATGATCGTGTTCCGTGTTTAGAAGTTTGCATTCAGACGATCGCGATTATTTACGCAATTCACGAATCTTTAAAACACATCGGTGAAACCGTCGAAAGCAGTTTCCCCTCTAGGTTCGTAGACATTTTAGAAAACGAGTGCGATGATTTCACCGTCGATCGTCATAATAATTTACGATTGCGATACATATTCATGAAAACGATTTTCTTTTGTTTTTTTCTCGTGAAAGCATCATGATACATTAAATCTCGTGTCTCGATCTTTTTTTTCGAATTGCTCCGTGTGTTTCACGTTTTACTGGTTACCAATGACGTTCGACCGTCGGATTTACGCTAATTAATACAAGTTTGCCGCGACTGTTGCATTTGATGAGATGAAATATTGCTGATAAAACGGCGATGCGGAATTTAAAGCGTGACAGCGTTTAGTATCGTCAATGAGTATCGAATGTACAGGGTGAAGCATTTCAAACATATTACCTGAATAGCTTCTTTATTTTTAAACATGGAAAAGAATTTTTGAGATGGAAGTTGTTTGATTTATTTACCTTCTGATAGTTGCAACGGAACAAAACATAAAAAATACACCGAGTGTAACAATTTAAGAATTTCCACATTTATATTCAACATTGTAATCGAAGTTTTCGAAACAGCGGTACATGCTTTGGAACGATTTGATACAGTTTTTAAAAATAAACGAATTATCTAGGTTATCTATTTTAAGTGCCCCACCCAGTATATTACTCGGAATGAACGTTATCGCAGTTGTTAAGTTTTATTTACCGTGGAATGTTTTAATGGATTTCACAACTTCAGATAAGTAAATAAGAAATATTGATGCATATAATTTGTTGGGTTTATGAGACGTTTGTGTGATGTGTATCTCTTCTGCGTAAAAGATGAATCATTTAACATGCTCGAAAAGAATATTAAAAAATTTGTGAAGCAGCATTTCTTCCGAAATTTATAGTGTTTAATAAGAAAGAAACAAACTAATCAAAACAAATGTGTATTAAACTTTTGGAAACAATAATTAAATTGTTGGATTTTTAAAAAGACACAAATAGGTGTTCAGAATTTGAAAATTGTATTAAACAAAAAGTAGGATAATTTCGACCAACTGCAGGAATATTTTTGAATACTTTCTACATTATCAATAACCAACGAGATGTATTATGTTGATAGAAGCAATATTGTCCTAAAATTATTTTAAAAACAAAAAAATACACGATATTCGTAAAAAGTTCTTTGATTGCTTATCATGTAAAAAATGATAACTTAGAATAGTAGATTAGATTGGACCTTTTCAAAAACAGTTGTGACCACAGAAAAGATACAACAGATAGAATCAAATTTATTAAAAACGATTTCTAAAAATCTTTTTGCTTCAGCACAAAGCAGAAATGTGCTATTAGTTGAATGTAATATATACTATTTTGTCTTATATTGGGGGTAATATAATTGCCCTATTTCACCCTAGTCTGTACGTGTAACTAAACTATCGTACGCCCTTGCGACACGTGATAATTCAGAATAGGGGTAAACGATCACGATATTTCGTGGTCAGAATTACCTCACTTTACCCTACTCTATACATGTAAATAAAGTATCGTATGCCCTTGCGTCACGTGAAACTTGAAAATGGAGTTAAACGATTATGTAGTGCCTGATGATCCATCATCGTTCGCCACTGTTTCAATGCCTCATGAAAACATTACAGTGCACGGATAATCCATCACAATTTGCATTGTAAAGTGGCCGATTGGCTCGGATCCAGTTCTGAAATTGGGTCGGTCCTTACAACGCATTAACTTATGGTATGATCGATTTTGTAAGCGAGAACTGGTGTAAGTAAGGCGAAAAAAAAATGAATAGGATACAGTCTGTGTACAGTGTTTAACGTCCATGGACAGACGCGATGAATCGTTGCCATTTTAAAACGTCCTATTTGCGTCAATCCGCACCTTACACGTATCGTCCGTCTTTAACGCGATTCTTAGTTTCTTCGGTTTCAGGTATGCGGAATTAGAAAACACACAACGCCGCGTCGCGTCGCTGAGTCATACGCTAATTTCGAAGCGTCGGCGTATAATCAGATTGTGTAATCGATTTACCAATCACCGTGTTCGGTAGAAAAGGCTCATGGGAACCAACAGACAATTGAATGCGAACTGACGCTATCGTTTCCACTGCGTTTTCGATAAAAACCAGATTATTAGGCGCGAATCTTGTTGCATTGGAATTAATAAATTTGATCGTAATCGTAACAAGCAATTTATCATTTCTATTCAACGTTTTACGAGTTTGTAATTATCTTTAAAAATACCAAAAGAGAATGATTATTAAGTTTACCAGACAATTCTAGCCGGCTTTTTAATTGGAAGAAAATAATGTAATTTTCGTTAATGTTAACAGCTTTTTCCTATCTTGATGGCAAAACAATACACTTTTCATAAAACACTTTTTTCCTAGCTGAAATAATTGTACGGTAACGGCCAGAACTTTCTGGTAGACTTAATTCAAAAGAGAGGAAAAAAACGTACATTAAGTAATGAGGAACTATCGAATTAAAATTAGATAAGATCGTGTTTAAGATGAACTGAAGTTACAGCGAAAAATAGTATGATAAAGTGTGAAAATTAGCATTAACATTCGTCTCACATTTATGTGATACTTCTTTATACTTTATTTATTTATTTCTAAATTTTCACGTATTTTAGGATCACTTTGTATATGTATTTTGTGAATGTATAGCTTCAAAATTTATGAAAATTATATAGATATGTGCCTACACATATAAAAAATAGAATTATAATAACTGTTATTTAAGACAACTGATTTCTTTCATACGTTAATTGCGCTTATCGTTAAAAAATGTAAGTAAATTCCAAAAACTTTTTATTCCAGCGAATGTCAAAGACAATTGGGCAGAGTCCTCGACGACATGGGCGAGGCTTCAGCGAGGGCTCAGGGCTTGAACAAACCAATAACCAGCTCCCTAAAACTTCGAGACACGGATCATTTGGTTTACTTATTAGTGGACAATGAAGCCAACAAGTGAGTTTTTCAAACATTTCGTACAGTAAACTCTTTGTCGTTGTAATAATAACCCTTAAATTTAAAACTAAGAAATCGTAATATTATAAAAAAATGATTCTTACATCGAGTATCTCAAATTTCTGTTACAGAAACAATTAAATGTATTTTAATTATAAATCTCTGTTTACTCTAACTTTTTATTCTATAAACTAAAAAACTTTATCTTTGCAGTAAAATGGTACTCAATTAATTAGCTAAACGAAAGAATTCTTTAAAATGTTCGCGTTCGAATGAAATCGATCATCGATCGGTCCTGATTAAACGGTACTATAATTATAATTCGATCAAAAAGAGGTTCTACCTTGTGATAATGTATAGAAGAACAAGCAAAAGGATCTATTCTTCGGAAAGAAAGAATTCTGAGCGCGTCTGTACTCGAATTAAATGCTCGATTTAATTGCTTCCGCAAAACCGTGGGTAAACCGTCGGTGCTGAAACGAAGTCCCCTTTAAAAAACGTAACTCGAAGCCAGCCGGTGAGCAGAAAGGAAGCTGTATTTCCCAGGATAAGGGGTTTCGTGGCGTGCAAAATGGTCGGTGGATCGATATGTCGTGTCTGGTGTCGCCTTGGCTACAGAAACCCACCGTTCGCGTCCTCGCAGAATCCTTTCGCGATGGATGTTGCCAACCCGTAGCTTCATATTTGTTCTAGGCTGCTTCCCGCTCCACGGTCGTTTTCGATGGGAAAATTGATAATCACACACACGCGTACCACGTTCCGTAATAATGACCGGGTCATAAAGTTACTCGCGCGGCCATTAACGATGCACGCAATTAATTACTAAGAGTAGACTCTCTTATAATCGGCGTCTTCATGACGAAGCGGGTTCGTTCGAGATATAATCGTCTATCTTGCGTTACACGCTGCATTATAACGGTCAATCTTGGATATTGCCGATAGATTAGGAAGTCAGATAGCGTGTTCCGCTCGTAAAATTCTCGAATCTATCGATCTCGTCCAGGTACGAATTATTGTTAGTCACACCTTCCAGAACTAGGGTAACTCGTATATAAACACAGCCCTGACAAATAAAGGGCGTCCATAGACGTTTTATACACTCGATCTTCTACCAGTTATTGAAGTTAGTTTTAGCAATATGGTTGATATTCTTCTCTGTTTTTTTAATTTTATCACAGAGATTATACTACGTGGACTGTTGTATCAACAAAATTTGTAGTATTTATTTCGAAGCTAATAAGTCAGAATTGTTATTCAACAACCCGAAAGAAACATTTTCCACTGTTCTTTCTCAAGAATTGAAATGCACGTTCTTTATTGGAAGATGTCCACAAAGAAATTTGTTTTGAGGAATATAGTAAGCGAAACAAAAGGTGCAGCATACTTCTAAAAACTTGCAACAAACGAACTGCGTTCTTTTTTTTTCTTCGTCTTGCTCACTGAACTTCGCTCTTGCGGATTACTTGTATGCATTTGGAATTTTCAACAACTTTCTTAAAGAAAAGCGACTGGTTAAGAAAGTGTGGAGAACACGATCAAAGGATCCAATTAATTTAGAAGCAAATAGTTTTTTATGTCAGCCATTAAAGCACTTCGTCATTCTGGGAAATATATACGAGCTGATAGGTATCTTGACGAATAAAAAGTTTGTATTACACGAGATATTCCATTATTTCAGGGCGTTGAAAAAGTTGAGGTGAAACTTCGAGAACATACAATACTCATCGATGGAATGTTTTGTTTTAGATGTACAATTACAAAGTTTAAATGAAAATGTCATCTGATATTTGTCAATATTGAAGTCAAGTTTAATTTGCTTCTATTCGATAGTGCTTGTTCTAGTAATAATGACTAACAAAAAGTGGCAAGAATTCCCTCAGTAATTAAATAGTTCTTCAATAATTCAAACTTCTAGTTTGTTTCTTACTAAAAACAATTTTAATGTATTAATTGTCATGTATCGAGTACGAACGTTAGGAAAACGCAGAAAATTCATTTTTATCCAAAAATTACTTTATCAAATGTCGTTACATAGGTATTAAGGAAATACTTTTTGGCAATTTGTGATGATAGGTTTCTAAAGAAATTTGTACGTCCAAAATGGTAAAATAATGTTGTCTAGCATATACATACACCGTCCACAAAGGGTTAAATTTCTACATCATCCTCTGTTCGACGATTCCTCGGTGGAAGATCGTCGCAGAAGCAGCGCTAAACGAGAATAGCAAATATCGAGTTATTCGCCACGAAAATGTCACGACGTCGAAAGCGATCCAGTTCTTAGCTGTTATTAAGTACTTTGACTCACTCAGCCGTGCACAGATGCACCCAAGCATCATCCGTGAACCACTTCTATCTACGTCTAATGACGGCGAGCCTCGAACGGTGGACCGCAATCGTGAATCATCATCGTGTAATGTTACAACCTTGCTTCGATTTTACAGCGGACTGGGCTGCGTGGTGGGTTTGCTCAAGACTGGATCGAAGAATCTCTTCATGTTCGACGAGACAGGAACTCATTACCAGCTGAAGCCTAGGTGCGTTTTGGACTTTTACGTTCATGAGTCTCGGCAACGCATGGGTCTCGGGAATATTCTCTACGAGTACATGTTGTCCGTAAGTAATTAGGGCTTTACGCGTATTCACCGAGTCAGGGTACACCGATTGACTATTAAGTTCCCCTCTATCTTTATGGTAATTCAATTATTATGCACCTCCGAACCTCTCAGCATACGTGGGATACGGGAAGCACAAAGGGGCAGTAAGACACTAGGAGATATATAAATATGTGAAAAAATATACAGGATTTGTCATCAGAGTCTGGGATTGCTTATATATAAATTAATTATTCGTTTCATTTGTAATTAATTAGCGATATAGTTGTATCGGAATCTGAAATTATTATCAAATAATTTGGGGTATAATATTTTGTAAATAAGCTTGATCACAACTTAAAAGTGGTATGCGATCTGTTTCATCCAGTAGTACCTCGATAATTGCTCGTACGAGAACCTCGTTCGTTGCACTATCACTTACAATTAGTAACGAGTAAATAACGTAATAAAACAGTTCAATAAAGCATTCATGTGCCTCATCCAACATCGTCACCTTATTTTATCCCATTTAAGGGATTTCATAAAAAAAAAATACTTGTTTGACTAGAAAATCTTGAAAACTTCAGTCTTGAAAAGAAAGTATCTTCGACTCGACCGGTTTCCTTTTTCCCCACTTTCCTCGCGATTGGCGTGATCGCGATTGAGGAAATGGCCTTGAACGGTCAACTGATTTTGCCTCGACTATAATCACACGAGGAACATCGTCGCGAAACGGATCGCGTCCGGTGCACAAAGTTGCTATCCGCCCGCGCAGGATAGTCGCGTTTACGGTGCAAACGAGTCGTAATTACATCCCGAGTAAAAGCAGAAAGACGTCGTGCGATCTTGATCTAAACTACTTCTATGGAAACGTTGTACAAAACGAGGCTGTTACCACGTTCCTGTCCGCGTAGACATTGCGAAACTCAGCCATTTCGCAAACGATCGCGAGGGAACGAAATTTAACAGCGAACAAAGAAATCTCAATGTCAACGAAGTATCACAAATTATTTTCTGAGAAGAGAAAATCTTTTTTTGTCCCTAATACGCGTAAGGAAAATAGTTCAACACAGAACATGCTCCAGCTAACGCTGAAGAACTCTGCAATGCGATTTCCACGGAGTTGCTGTGCATCTCGAGTTTCGTGATTTCTGTTGATTCGCATAATTTTTTGCAATTTCTCTTGACTCGAATTTTTTTCAGCAGGCGCACAAGAAGCGAGCGCACATCGAGCGTTAATTGTAAACTCTATAAAACATCGCGAAGTGCGGCTAATAAGCATTAATTACGAAAAAGTACCGTACAAGCTGGCAATCGTAAATAGCCCAGTGCATGAGACCATGATGTAAATTCACGTGTCGCTAAGCCGACAGCACTTGCTGTGATTCCGACAACAGTGCACCGACCATAACACAATGAGGCACAAAAATCTAGGATACGAGCCACTACCACGAATATGAATTCCCTCGTGCTTTTTTAAATTTCTCTTTGGCCTCGTACACGAGTCGCCGGGCCTTTTTTGGACATAATAACCCATTTGTTCAAAACTCTCTAAAACCTTTTTACTAACCTTAAATAGACCTACGCAAATTATTTGAATTTGATGTTCAAGAAACGATGGACACGAAATTTTAATGTTGATTGATGGTAAATACTAAAAAGAATTCGCTGAAAAACGCGATTGTAAAATTGTATTACTTGGTTAATTATATAGAGTTTAACGTAATATTTTAGGAACGTGTCCTCGAAACTTTATACTTTAAGAATATGCAAAAATAGCGGAAATTTTTCAGTGTCTGGTATACATAACTCCTCAACGACGTTTATTACAATGCCGTTTTTCCACGTTTGGTCTTCTCTTCGTCAATACCTTTTTTGCTCAAAATAAAATCGTTCGGTGTGTACTCTGTATTCCTAAATTGTTTGGTGAAGCATTACCTCCGTCGTACTCAAATTGTCTCGTCGATGACAAAATATCATACAAACGTAGGTCCACAAATGTTTTCCGAGTTTTTTAAAAATATACGCTGTAGGGACTATTCGAAGTGGAATTCTTTATCCAGTTAACGAATTCCAAATAAAAAGACTAAATAGGAAAGTTTTAAAATTTGATAGAGATATTTATTGAGACGTACTATTGAGCATATAAAAGGTACAATGGAATTAGAAATAAGAAACTGATAATTTCGTTAAAAAAAAGATTTGTTTGAAGCAGTTTTATTAACATATTATTTTATTTGTATTTATTTATATTTTTTTCTAGAAAATATTGTGATCATTAACTTTGATAGTAACTGTCTTCGCCATACAATCAACAGTCCACGAAACATTTACAGAAAACGATAAAACCACACTTTTTATCTTACAGGACTTTTTACATGTTCGACAGTACGTCTCGATAAACATTTGTGCCAAATTTCAAACTTTATTGCTACCTTGAGCAATAAGACAAGCTTCGTAGCATCATCTTGTTGAACACGTTTCGAACCAACGCTATCACTGTTAACGTTATTTGATATCTGTAATTGTGTATACGTACGCGTAAGTTTCGCTATCGTGTTCGAGCAATGTCAGTAATGTTTACATACTTATCAGTGTATTGAACCATTGGAGTTCTCGTTCGCTAATGCAGCGCTTCTCAAACTGTCTTTCGCGAAAAATCGCTATTAATGATTAAAAACGATCAAGGAAAATTAAATAAATTAAGTAAACGTTGTACATTTGCAGCGTATTTTTGGCATTATTTTTTTTGTTTTTAATTAACATTATAATGCCTTAAAGTCTCACTAATCCGGACACGGATAATCCGTTTTAATTTGTATCTTTTTTTCTTAGTTCTGCAAGAAATAGCATTGGTGCCGTGAACAATTATGTAGGTTCTTTAAGAAATCAGGAATTACAGACATCACTAATGTATAAAAACTGTGAAGGCGATTCTAATTAAAGAACAGCAGCAGACGTCTGCTTAAACAGAACTTGGTCACTCTGTGCAATCATTTTAGTTTTCAATTAAAGGCTTTGTCTCAGTATTTATCTTCGTAACCACGCTAAAATTCATGAATCCTATTTAAATTTATTTCCTTTAACAATTCAGCTTGAGAATTAATTATTTTAGTTCCAAAGTGACAAGTCTTGTCATCCATACGTAGCAATCAAAATGTTGATGCTATCTTTTAATTTGCTAATCTGAATTATCGTTTATCAACACCTGCTAATTCTCGATCAGAGAATTTATTATTAATTTTCTTAATACGAATACAGAAAATTTTCTGAAGAGAAACTAAAACGTAATACAATATGGCATATCTGATTTCTGCCAGCAATGCGTGCCAGCCGTAGGGCGTGTACCTAGCCCTTCAAACTCTAGTGCCCAAAAAGGGATCACTCGAGGTCATTCCTGAACCATTGGCATCCTACGCTCGACGATATTATCGTCTTCGCTCCTGTACATGTTTTTTTTTAGTTTTTACGAGATCATAATATTTTTCCACAACTTATACTACAATTTTCCCTATCCGTGACTTAGAGAAGAAACATTTACTGATTTACAATTGCTAATTTTTATATTCATATTTTAGTATTTTTAATGAAACGTTTAGTTTTCGGATTGCAATAATATTGAAACATTTTACACGTTCAGTAATGTTATTTACATTCGAGCAACAAACAAATATTCTTCGCTAAATCGCGTAAAGGAAAAGAACTGGTTTTTATAAACGTGAACTCGTGATTTATGTCAAAGAGAAAGGAAAGTCTATTCGTGAAATTGCTAAATTCTTGAGCACGAGGAAAATTTCATAAACGTCAACTTGTAAGTTATGTTAGAGAAAAAGGAAAGTATTCGTGCATTTACTGAATTCTCGAGTGTGAAGTAAAGTACAGTAGCAAATACTACTAAATGATTTACAGTAAGATTAGATATGATACTTTAAAAGGACATTTGATCGTGAAAATTATACGATTTGTGAGGGAGATCCTCGAAAATCCATGATCAATATATTAATTCCATAAACTCTATTTAAAGATCTGTATGGATATAGGAAGATATAGAACCTTACAAAATTGATTTCTTTTTTTATTTCATTTTCTGAAAGTATATGTCCTCGAAAATGATATTGTCAGTGGATATTATCTAATTCAGAAAAATAACAAAGCATCTATCGATATTATTGTCATCTAGGCGTCCTGACAGCGTGTGTAGTCGGCTTAAGTGAACTTTTCGAACCGAAACAAGCAGTTTGAACAAGTTCAGTCACCTTTTGGGTTACCTTCGACCGCAACACCCACGCGTAACGACCTTTTGTCACGCTCCTATTTAAGATCATTCGCTAATTTGCCACCGTAAGCCTGAACTCTTTCTTATCGAGTATGAGTCACGAAACCAACATTCTTGGAAAACAATTATTTTTCTTTGCGGTTAGCGTGTTTATCGCAAAATTGTTGTAAAAAAACTAGTAGTTTTTTTTAAAAGTTAATTATAATCAATGATTTCTGATAAGAACCTTGACTGTAGAACGACTTTGAGACACGATAAAACGAGTAAATGAATTATTTGTTGTAGAAACACATTTATCATGAAAAAAAAAATTAGTAGATAGATCAAGAAAGATCCATCGATTTTTACACAATAAATAAACTAATAATCCATTTAGCAATCGATGGGAATTAATAATTTTATTTAAACTGGCTTAATACATAAATATTGCTTTTTGTTAAATATTTTATTCCGAACACGAGGTGGCAAATACGCGGTGAATTGAGAGGATCTCACGCTACAAATGTTGCATCGAATAGCGTGCAATAAAGGACAGTTATATGTACAGTTACGTGGGAAATGGCGATTAGAAGATCGTATACGATGTATGATTCCGTTTATAAAGTTAAATCCCACTACGTGGAGATGTCAACGGGGTCAGATAGCATTATGGAAAACGAAAGAAAATGAGTATTGATCGCTGACCGCGCAAGACGTCGGCCGGAGGGAAGTCGAAAAAAACCAGTCATTACTCTCTTTAACGTCTGGCTTTATGTTCAACCGTACGTTCCGGTCTATGTCGTTCCGACTGCCCGGAAAACCAAGAAATCCTTCGTTTTGACGTGAGTCGTAACGGTACTGAAATAGCGACATGCTACTTCTTCCATTCTAATCGGTGCTGTTCATATTTTTTTCCAAGACCTTGCTACAGAAATTATGCAGTAAACAATTTTGAATCGAGCGTGGGAGGTTCTTTCTCGCCTTCCGTACTCTTCAAACACGTCGCCAACATTATCTTTTCCAAGATCTCGGTAGTTTCTTTTATCAGAAAACGTGTTTTGGAAGGTCGAATGTAACACTAACATTTTTTCGATTGAAACAAATTTTAGAAAACTGATATTCGTGGTCTGATATACATTAGAAAATAGGCGTTGAATGAAATAGGGACTATTTTTATGAATAAAATTTTTATGAACAAAAACTTTATAAACACAATCTCACAATCAAAAAAGCTACAACGAGTACCACTCATTGGGTAAAAACTTCTAATAAAAACAAAACAAAGTTACTATACTTTATAATAAATCGTTAATAAATAAATACTCGTTGTTGCATTTGCGAACAAAATTGTTAAATATTATGCTTGCAGGATTTACAAGGAGGGAAGTGCAAAAGTCATTGTTATCATTAGTTCTCCGCATAGAAATCCTACAGTCTTAACGTGACGCCTGGGTTCTTCCCCCGTTCCATTCACGAGAATGCCGATTCATCTTCCAGTTGAACACTTTCATTACAAGCCCGTTAATACTTAATGTTGCTTTCAATTTCCAGGAGGAAAACATTAAGCCGGTGAAGCTGGCGATCGATAGACCTTCGGGGAAGTTCTTAGCCTTTCTGGACAAGTACTACGGCCTCTCGAAAATAATTCCGCAGAATAATAAATTCGTAGTCTTTCAAGGATTCTTCGACGATGGTACGTACTCTTGTTTACGCAAAAGTAATTTAAAACTAATTAAAAGAAGTTCTTAATCTATCAACTATAATATAGAGCATATGTTACTCAGTAATATGCACTCAAAAAAGGTAACAATTTTAGTTTTTTTTAATATATTCTTCGTATTCAATTTTATGAATATAATAAAAAAATTATGACTAAATTAACGCAAGAAAAGATTCTGATGGATCAGTTTTGATAAGAATGAGGCACATGATTAACTAGTAAAATAAATCTGCCATAGTTTATCCTATCGCACGGATGTAAAAATTGATGTACAATGACCTTACACAGAAGGAATATAAAATATTATTCCACGCATAAGTAATATTAACAAATGAATTTAATGGAGAATCGGACCAAAAGTGAGGAGAATATTATTTTTGAGGCGTTGCATTACCATTCCTGATTACCTAAAGATCGAACTGACCGAACGATGCGTCTCGTCTTCAAGGCACCACCGTAAAAGTACAAGGCTGTTCATGAATCCATTGTCGATCTGGTTTCAAGTTAAAGGTACAAGAATGGTGGAACGAAGGTCGCCTTATAATCTGTCCTTCGCTACCTCGTGCCCTAAATCGGTAATTCTTACCTGGGAAGGTATGAATCGCGGTCAATGTCATCCTATCTACGATTAATGACCTCATTATGCGATTCCTTTGATCGATTCGAAGCTGTCCTCAAACGATACGCTCCCCGTCACGCTGTTCCTGTCGATTATAAATGAGCCGTTCTAGTTTTCATGGTTTAATATAGCTGAAAATTGATCGCTCTTAATCGTAGTTTGTGACAACGTCTAACAACAAATCTGTCTATTTATAATTCCTTCGATTAAAAGTGTCGTAATTAAATCTATGCCTTTTTTAACATACTTATTTTCTATTTTGCAGAGCGCCAGGATGTCAGATCAAATAGATATAGCTTGTCTCCTAAACTGTCTGTCGATATCGGTGGAGCAAACAACATTCATAACAATATTGGGAAAAGTAACTCCAGGTACGTGTGTAAAACATTTTAAATATTTTTAACACGAGATATAATTCCAACATTGCGGTAATATCCTTGTGATATTCTACATAATGAAGAAGATTGTTTTTTCAGCATGAATGGCGTCCAGTATTCTCCATTTGTTGGGCGCAATTCGTTCGGCAGATACGCCGCGGCACGACCGCCGTGTTCCATGGCGAATGTAAGTACAACACCATAAAACACCTGAACCCGCCAACGAATCAGTGTAATAAATTATTACTAAGTTTCACTATAATATCTGAGCTTCTTGTAAATGGCGTAATAGAAACAGATACTAAAGGTATTTGCAGTTGAATGTTCTTTTATTATTATCTGTGCGAAATAGTTAGACGATTACTCGCAGAACTTGATCAATTGCAAGAAGATGGCCAAACATAGAAATATGTTTCTTTAACGAGACACAGCCGAAATAGTATGGGTCGATAAACTGTTCGAGATACAGATACCTATTTAAAGGGTTACACCAGTGCGACGCCCTAGAAAATAGCGCGAACTTTGGAATTTACATTAAATTTACGTTATTAAATATCCTCATAGTTTTAGTCATTTTTCACCATGAAAACTTACCAATTAATAATTGCGTAAAAGCATAAATAATACAAATTCTAACTCTTATGGTACGGTGTAACGCTACTAAGGACGCATTAACGCTTTTTTCTAGATAATCCATAACACTGCTGTGCTTGGTCCATCCGCCGAACGTACTGAGTGAGTAAAATCGAAAGATAGTCATCCAGATCGTAGACAATTTACGCAAGCTGCTTAAATAAATTAGTTGTGAAATTCAATGTTCGAAACGCGAAGAGGCGAGGCCTCTATCGAACGTTTAACGTTGGAGCTTTGATTAATCCTTCGACGCCCAGATCGTTTGTCTTAAACAAATAACGTTTTGAGCTGTGTAGATTATTGCACCGTCAGTAAACTTAAATGTACAGTAATCGACGGGGATGTTTAATCGATGATATTACAAATTTAACTTGCTAGTGAGATAAACGTTTATCGAGGAGTCGAAATATTTCGTCTGGTCGCTAAAGGGTTAAAAGAAAAATAAATAACACGGTAATACGCAACAGAAGCGGCTTTCACTATTTTTACACCGTGTGTACACGCTACCTCTTGCCAACGCACGTTAATACGCGCGACGGATATTTCTTGACCTTTTCTTACCTAATTTTTAAATTTTTTGTTTGTGGTCGTACAGACTTAACGATATGACTGTAAATTTTCGAACAATGATAATGTAAAAATCTATTTTATATTTAGAATCTCGACGATTAACCCTTCTATTTTAATATTTATTTACTCACCTAACTATAGGATAATGAATTTGCGTTTTTCGACGTGTCACGGTTCTGTATTGTATTTAAAGATGCTATAAAAACCAGTTGTACAGTGACTGAAACGATACAGCATTTATTGTAAGTGAAAGTAATGTAAACATTAGCTGTAGAAATTTATGGAGATCATTTAAATTATTATTAAATGAAGTTATAATATAAAAATGAAAATGCTATAAAGGGTTTAATTCTTAAAAGATAAACACGAGAAGCAAATACCGTTCGATCGTTTTGTTTCAGCAACACTTTCTTAACGCACAGATACTTGGTTTATTAAAATCATATTTCACGTTAAATTAATTTTGCGCATGTATCAATGTATGTTCATTATATTTATTTATTGTGATATGTATACTATTATTTTGAATCATCATTTGCACCATATTATTAAAACAGTTGCATTGAATGCTCAGCATGGATTTACATTTATTTCCTTTTTATTGGCAGATATTAAATGATTCCACTCCCATGAAAATACAAGTTCAATATTCCCAAAATCCTCTGCACACTGGCAACATGTCCCTTTCACTCTTATTTGCAGAGTAAGTAATTTCTTGAGCATTACTTGCAAAAATTGTGATCCCTGCATGATCTATTTTCTGTTACAATGTCACAGACACAATGCATTATCTTATTTTGTAATTGCAAAAGTATAAAACGAAAAATAAAATATAAAAAACCTAAGTGTTCGGTCACACTTGGAAAAAATTTTAATGGGAGATTCTAGAGGCCAAAATAAGACGAAAATCAAGAATATCAATTTGTTGATTGAGGCTTCGTTAAAAAGTTATTAAAAAATTAAATTAAAAAATTTCAAATTCTTCTGGAAAAATTATTTTCGGTTGCGGGGGTCAATTACAACCATTTTTAGTGAATAAACATACCCCCGAAAACCTACGTACTTTCGAGAAAAAAATTCTTTACCGAAAATATACCGTGTGGCCGAAAATGCTTCTATAATTTTTTAACGAAGCCTCAATCAACAAATTAGTATCCTTGATTTTCGTCTTATTTTGGCCTCTAGAATCTCCCATTAAAATTTTTCCCAGGGATGGCCGAACACCCTGTATATATAAATAAGTTTTTCATAATAATTCGTCGATTAATAGAACCATAAATTTCTTGTTCCAATTCTATTAAGTGAGTGTAAAATTTTTGTTTGTTATTGCTTATCTCGATATGTTAATACAATTTTCATAATCAGAAAATTGTAAAACATTCTGATAATCATACCTGGAACAAAACTTTGCACTTACCCAATGAATGGAGTCATGTTACAGCTATTAGGACTCCAAAGAATCATAGTAATTTAACAATACGAAACTATACGTGACAAAGGAATTATGATCGTGAAATGCATGTCAGTATTTTATACAGAGGTTTCCTTATAATTTCATGGAAAGTTATTTTTACAGTGAAAACTCAAGGACATCTACTGCTATGCAATTGAAACCAGACCGACCACGCTCATTAAGTCTTTACTCTGAAGAGGAACAAAAACAACGCACAAACGAACTGTCCACGGTACCAACACCTGCTTTACCCGACCATCAACCAACTCCCCTCGCTACCATATTACGGGAAACGGAGAAAATTGAAAAGAACATAAAACCATCTCCCTCGTGTAGTCAAGAAGTAGCTGGTACCAACCAACACACTCGATTGGACCTTAAATTTTACCATTCACCTTTATGGTAATACAACTAAAAGAAATGAAAAATTAATATTCCTCTGGATAGAATTATTTTTTATTTGTTAGTTGTCTTGAAGAAATTTATGTTGAAAAATGTTATTACTTGCATACGTGACAATGTCGTAAAACTTTACCTTCGGTAATAAGATTCTTATGAAAAGGTAATTACTAATAAGTTTGATGGTGATTAAACAATTATCAAACAGATACAAAGAAACCTCTATATCAATTGACAAAAATAGTTTTTCTCTACTTTCCGGTCGATATAAACATTTAACATATTAACATTGATCTTTATTTAATTATATATTATTATGAAACTGCACTGAAAGCTAGTAAATGTAAAATGAGACCTAAGAACTATTTAGTATCAGATCACGGTAATTAAAATTTGGAAGTTATTTCTCGCTTAATGTACTTCATTACTATTTTTTGTATCGTTTTAAATAATGCTTTCATTATAAAGTAATTTCTAAAGTTCTAATTAGACTTCTCTTGAATATGATTGCAAAAAAGGTATTTGTACTAGTATAAATATCTAACGAATGTATTTCAATGATTAATTATGACGTTGAAATTGTTAGTAACTTTGCATTTAAAAAATGAGTTCAAATCGTAGTACATGACTAACAATAATCGTGTAGAATCCATATGTAAGCTGGCTTGTAATTTTATACCTATACGAAAACGTACAAGACGTTTCGCATATACCGCAAATGTAGTCATATATAAGTTCATTATGTAAATGAACTTATCATTCCTTCTTTTTATAATAGTGCACTATAATTAGATTTATTATTATTCAGTTTCAATCTTGTCGCGTTCGATACTCCATTAAAACAAACGAAAATTTTCGTACAGTCTATATTTATCAATCACGCCTTGAAAATTTTGTACCTTCTAGTACTAAATTCGTAGAAATCTATGAATTTTAGATAACGGGATAATACCTAAGTATGTATAAAAATGGAATCGTTGTCGAAAAAACTATATCACGTGACAAGAGAATAAATGATTAAAGTACAAAATACTATAATTTATTTAATAACATGGTAACCAAATTATTAAATATAATTATATAAAACATTCCCCATATATTCCTTTTTACATTTCAAATTTATGTATGTACTTTTCTCTGGTATTCACTTTATTCAAGGTTAGGTTTTTCAAAATTTATTTCTTAAATTTTACAATTGTACTGCAACATCAATAATATCGTAGCTAATATTTCTCGTAATTTGGTACTTCCAAAGTTTGGTTTATCCAGTCCAGATTAACACATTCACGTCATCCACCGGTTGCTCACCTCGTACACTAGGTACACATGAAGCGACCTGCTCTTTCATAAATTTAGGGTATAAAAGTATTCTTTTATTTACATTGAAAAGTAAATCATCAATTATTCATAATAATATCAAAACCTAGTATTCAAATTCTCGTACCGCATCCGCGGATGAAGTAATGTGCATACATCTGGCGTCATCGTGAATATTCTAAGACACTTTAAAACAATTAAAATTAAATAGTTGCATCTGAAGTAAAAATTGTAAAATACTTGCAAAAATTAAAAACGTGATTATTTTATACACAGTCCACATAAAGTCATAATGCATAATTTGTCACCATTTAAAAACATATTAAAATATAACACACTTAATAACATAACCAAAGCCTAAACATTATATTACGTATCACTCACTTTTTCATCAGTCATAAAAGATACTAAATACAAACAAGTTTGTGGTTCTAAGTACAAGAAACTCATGAGTAGACCTTCAACATAACCTAAAAGTAAGCCTGCGATAATATCGAGAATATGGTGTCTTCCCATCATGATTCTAGACAAAGCTGTAGCACTAACCCATGCTACTAATGGAGGGAAGAAAATCATAGGTACAGGCCATAGATGGTTAAAGAAATAAAGTAAAAACATAGCTCGAGAAGCATGACCAGATGGAAATGAATATTTATCAGGTCCTATTGCTAAAGGAACTGCGGCGGATGTAGGCCGTCTTCGTCGTGTGATTGCTTTCAATACACCAATAAAAATAACGTCCAACACCAAGCCTGAAAGCATAATGACTTTATTAATTAATATAAAAGCTGGTTATACAAAATTTTGCATTCTTAGTGTTACTAGTATAGACATTGTATTTATTATTAAAACATTATACTTACCTAATAATAAATTGACTTGCATTTGATATAAATCTTTATTATGAAGAATCCAAACCAGAGCCAATACTGATCCAAACCATACTAGGCCATTACATGATATCTATATAAGTAGTGAGAAATATTAAGAAATAGCAATTTGTTTATACAACTATGATCTCAGAGAACTTATTATCATTATTATAGTTGATTTTTAAAACCAAACTATTTGTTAATTAATAACTATAAATACATTTTTAAACTTACCTCCAATGCTGAATAATGTACTTTTAATTGTTTCATAGGCATGTATTTGCCCATATATTTCACAAAACTGTTTGTTAATCGAATGTCAAGAGACAGTATATTCTTTAGGATTGGTGAAATGTCTCTCTTATCCTGTTAAAGAAATATTTCTTCTAAATTAATAGAATTCAAGACAGAGTCAAGTTTATTTTAATTCTTAAATATTGTCATGTATTCTCAAAACAAAACTAGTATCATGGGGAACAACAAAATATACTATCAAAAAATAAAGAGCAACGACTTCCTTGTACAATTGGTTTTATTTTATACAGTTTATTAAACAAAATAATAGAGTACAATATTAATTTTAAATAAAGCAAATGTAGTTGATAGAGCATCAAAATACCCCATGTAATTCTATATAACCTACTTTCAAAATAAAATGTGTTATTAAAGATCAATTATTGTATGACTAAAAATGTGTACTTTACTTATCTATTTCTTTGGAACAAAGAAAATAGCTTTCTAAAAAAATTAAGCTAATAATTCACTTGATTGACATAAACTAACCATGATTATGAATTCTTAGTAAAAATTGTTCCTCGATGATCAACTTTTTAAAAATAATTTGTTCTATAGTACACTGATAAAATTATTGACAAGAAACATATTTTCTTATCATGTCCGTTATGATTAGTCCACGTATCAAATAAACCAAATAATCACTAATCAACGTTATCAGCAACTTTAAGTCATTTAAATAAATAACATCAATGGTGATGCTATAAATAGATAAATTCTTGGTTCTAAATTCTAGTTACACAATTGTTTTGCTTTCTAAACACAAGATGTCACTTCTAGAACTTTTGCTGTTATTGTTGTGGTACGATATTTTTTCTCCCAAGATTGCAACCAATGAGTGAGCCACAAGGTCTAAGGTCATCTTTTCAACGTATTTAGTTTTGATGCACTCCGCCTGTGGTGCTGTACACGGACCAGTTAATCCTTAAGAGTTGTCCACCCAGGCTAAGTCAAAATAGCTTAGCTACCTCAAATTACGAGAAATAATTTGAACAGTCTTAACTGCTATTTTTAATTAGGAGTGTTGCGATATAAAATCTTAACAAAATATGCAGAATAAAAGTATTATGGGAGCGTCAAATCGACGTCATGATAGGAGGTAAAATAAACAAGATTTCCTGCTTCTTCTTAAAATTTCTCAATATTGTTTAATAAGTTCACACAGAATAACATAACAAATTACTATTTTTCACAGAACAATGGCTGCATTTGACTTTGCTGTGCCACAAAATGGTAAGAATAAAATATTTTGTTTTAGCTTCTCAATAAAATTAAACTCAATGATACATAACATGCTTTTTGGTTTATTGATTTAGTTGGTTCAAGAAAAGCACTATTGGATAGATTATCTGTATTTTCTACTCAGTCAGTTGACGCTGATTGCAACAATACAGAATTACAACTCCTTTATGATGAATATTTACAAAAAATAATGATAGAAAATATCTTAGAAAAGAAAACACAGAAGAAGAAGAAGTCATTTTCCTTGCAGCTAACAAAAATTGCTAAGGAACTTGATCATGTTGAAGAAAAATTATTTAAACTAGAAACCAGAGAGAGAGATATAATAAATTTAACTATGCTGCAGAATGATATAGACAAACAAATTGCAAATGCAAAGAAGTCTATAAGTAAGTTTAACAATAAGTACTTATATCTTGGAAATACTAAATACCACATCATGAGGTGTATTTTCAAGGTAATTGTTTTAATTGCAGAAAGGGAATATATTGAAAAGCTGGAAAATACTTTATCTCAATTACATTCTTTTCTGCAACGTTTCGATGTACTTCAATATAGCAATATAATTCTTCCTGAAACACCTGAAGAGTGGGAGGAAGCAATCCAAACATTAAAATCTTGCAGTGATACTTTAAAGTCTAGTGTGTCTATAATTGAATCAAAAACTGATACATATAAAAGTGTTAATGATGGCATTACAAATTTCTTAAATATCCATAGCACTATTGAAAATCTTCACAAAAGGTACAGTACATGTGGATTTGACTTTTAACATGTTAATTGCATATTGTTTCGAAATAAATATTTTTATGCTTTTAGGTTAGGAAAAGAAATTGGCGAGTTACAAGCTCTTGCATTGAAAATTGCATCTTTGGCTTTAGCATAAATCTACCTATAACTAAAACAGTATTAAAAAATGTTTAACGCTGTGATAATATTTTCATATTTTTATAACATTTTATAATATATAATTTGAAATAAAATTTAATTGCAAAGTTTACTATAATTTTTAAAATAACATACCAGACGATTCTAACCACACTCATAGCGAAATTATTTCGTATACAACTAAAGCAAACGACGCCATATTTTTGAAATTGTTACGACAAACTTTAATTAACGATCGCGGTTGTTGTCTACTGGAACAATGTTTCCATTCGTTCGAACAAAACGGAAGAAAACAAATGTCGGTTTAACAAAAGAAACTTTTTGAAAACATTCTTTCGTTCAGAAACATTCAACAAAAGGTTATCTCGACCAATTTTCTGAAACGAGGACAGCGACGCCGGTGGAGTTTCTGTGAAATCAGCTTGTATTCGGTGATTGGCGAACTGGAAGATGGGGTTGGAAGCGTCGTCTACGCATGACCGCGGCCTCTCGCCATATTTAATTTTTCCCCAAATTTTGCAAGCACGTACCGCAAAGAAAATCAAACGAACAAAGATCGTCCTCGAGCCGGCGATTGATTCGTGTAATTCGGACGCGGGCGCAAAATGTTGTCGATTTCGACATTTCGAAAGAACCACGTCGGGAGGAGCGCGGCGCAGGTCGCGATACTCGCGTGCTTCCAACCCCCGCGGATTTTTCCTCGGCCGCGCGCGATTTTATTCTGCGCATGGAAAGCAATTTTGCCCAATCATAAATAGGGCTATTGTGGGGGGATGGTGTATGCTGCTGGCGCATTTCATACATCCGAGTGTAATGGTAACCAGATAGAGGCGTCGCGCGAGGCTATCAGCCGGTTAGCATCGTAAATACGTTACTACTTACTTCCGCCGAAAAATTTCTCGTCTCCCACTCTCGATCTTTTTCCCTTTCCGTTTCTCCCTGTCTCTTTATCGCGCCGTCCTATATTTTTTTCTTCTTTCTCAATTTTCCATCTCTCTTGTCCCGTGCTCGCTCTCTCACTCTGTCTCGCCCTCTCGTGCGGAACCCTTTTTTTTTTTTCTCGCGGCGTGGAAACTTATGTACGACGTAGCTGTGCACGGAACGCGAGTAACGGCGTGATACACGACACATCACGCGCGCGCGCGTCGTCTCCTACGTACGCCCGTGTGTGCGGTAAATCGTGTTTGTGCGTGCGAGCAAACGGCCGAGCGAGTGATCTGTGACGTCAGTGGTCCGATCGGTTGTCACCTGTCAAACCGTCGTATCCCTCGTCTTACGTCGAGTTTCTCTTTCCCTCCGACCAATCCACGTCTTGCACCCTTTCTTTCTCTCATACACGCGCCAACTATCAGCATCTCTGTCTCCCGCTTTCTCACTTTTGCTCCCTCTTTTATCCCGTTGCACTCATACCAACCAACCCTCGTGTCGACCACGCAATCCGATCTATTTCCCTCCCCTCCTCCCCTTAACCCTCCCTCTCTTTACTGTGGAGTACCAGCAGCAACTAACCCCCTCTACGCTTAACCCTCGCGGTTCCTCCCTCTCACCCTGTCGTTTCTTCCGTTCACCACCCACCTTCTCCTCCCCCTGGTCTCCCTCTCCCTCCTCGTTTCCTCATCTTGCTCTCTCATCAGTGTGCCAGCTTCCATCCTTTCCCACCCATTTTCTCTCGCTCTTTTTAGCAGTGAAGCCCAGTGGCGTAGCCAGGATTTCTCCATCGTCGAGGAGAGCATTTTGTTCGTCAGGGGACATGACGTCGGCCAGTAAACGATATAGCGCTCTATACACTCGGAAGGGATGTAACCTCGTACGCAGGAGGAATGATATACTTTAATGGAGAAAAAAAGAAAGAGATTCGCGACAAGAGGTATTCCATTCGGGTTCTTTGCAGGAGCCGCAGCGTTCGTCGAGAATTCGATAACGCAAACGGTCACAAGGGCTACACCACTGGCCAGGAACGTGTAACTATTCGTTCATCTCTTTCGAGCTACCAAAGTGCACCCTTACCGCACCGCCTTTCCCCTTTTGTCCAGGGTGGTGTAGCAGCCCCGTTCGCCCTTCCTGGTCGCCTCTCTGCCGGTCCGAAAACCGAGCCTTTGAAGCTGCGACTGGCACCCACCCTCCCCTCTCTCCCCAATCCACCCTTCTTCCCGCGAACCCGGTCTCCGGGCTGCCACCCACCGATATGCACCCCGCTCGCTCCGCTCGCCGCGACGACCGCAGACACAAAAACAATAACAAATCGATTCGCGAGGGCAATGGGAAGGGGTCAGCGAGGTAGGACGACGCGGCTGTGACGGGGGAGGGGTTGTTGTATATCTCTGTCTGTCTCTGGCCCGCGCTCCCTTCGTCGCTGCCTCTCTTTTCCTCTCGTTCCCCTCGTCCCTCTTTCTGGATATTGTATAGAGAACGTTATGCTAAAGTATGCATGCACGAGGGTCGGTCCAATGGTCAGGAATCTCGCGAGTTCGTTCTGCGGCAGCACGTATCCGGACGTATTTCTCTCGGCGCGACTCGCGGCCCGCGTGCACGTCACTCGTAGCCGCGGTGCTACTGCGTAACTTCCGGTCGACCGGTAACGTGGAGAGATCGGCAGCTTCTTGCTCGTAGCGGGCCACCGTAACCGGGGGATGATTTACCGTAATGACGATCGGCCTGAATTGCGGTAGGCCACCGGACGGGCATCCGTAAGAGGAATCTTTTATTACATTTTTTCTACTCCCACCGAGGACACGTTTCGGTTAACATTTACTTCTTCTTCTCCTTTCTTTTTTATATTTTCGTTTAGCGATTTTTGATAAGCTTGCTTCCTACATCCGCCAAAGAACCTCTCGCGATGCAGTCGATACGTTTTAAGGGGAATAACCAAGGTCCAGATCGAAAAGTAAGGTCATCTTTGCAATTTATTTATTGACTGGGTAATTTCTTACTTTTTTTTTTGTTTTATCAACATATTAAACATTTGTTAAACTGAGAGTAAAATTAAAAAAAAAAGATTAAATAATATTGAGGTTGTTTAATTTTACTTGTTGTTTAGAAAACTCATTGGTTGTCAAGTTTTTATTTGTTTAAAATGTTTGAAAGAAAAATTTTTGTTACATATTGACTTCGAGTTGTGTTGCTACTGTCCGATCGTGGCTTTTTATTAAATAATCTATACCAATACTGTACAGAGTAAAGTTTGTTTTATGTAATGTCAACTGAACTTAAAATCTCACTTATTCCCGAGTAACATAGGTTATATATCGTTACCTTACGAATAATGAGGGTGAAGAGTGAGCGAAATTGTTATTACAAATAAAATTTAGTTTTGTCTGTCTATTTCTTACTGTATCGCGAAAAAACAGCTTCAGTTATCGCGATGAAATTTGGAACGTATCCCTAGAGTAAACTGACTTAAAATATTAGCTATATAACATCGCAAAATTTCTGATGGTAGGGGGAGGGGGCCGAGAATGTCAACTATAAAATGTATGACGTACTCTGAGCTTATACGTGCTTTCACACCGAAAGTATTTATGATATCATTTGTTGGAAATTAAATTTAAAAACTTTTTTGTTATGTACATATTTTCGACACGCACATAACTGGAGGAAACTAAACGCGAAGCTGCGGGTAATTATAAGACAATAACTAAAGTTAAACTCAAACAAATTTGCTCTTAAGATTGCATACAATACATCTATCAGAAATTGATAATCGTTTATGATTTCTAGAGGGCAAATAAATTTTCTTTAATTCTATGATTCAAACATTTCATTTTTCACGTAAATTTTCAGTCTTCTTAATATAAAATGAAAAGAAATGAAATAATAAGAAAGAATCACGTTAAAACGATAAACGAGGTATTTTAAAAAGTACCATTAAAATTTGAAGTAAATATGTACATCACATTTCGAGAAATCTTGAAAAATCAATTTTGCAGCACTAATGGACAAGTATCTAATTATCAAATCACCTGAAATATAATATGAAAACGTACAGATTCTCATTCTCGACAAAAATTTCTAAAGATTGCCTTACTTTTCAACCTGTCACTATGGTTTAATCGCTTAAGGGTGGTTTGTTACGGTTTTGCATTTCACCTTTTTTTTTTCTTTGCTTGTTTCTCCACGGCCAAGTTGCTGAAGCGTATTTGCATGCTTAAACGATCGTCAATGGGGAATAAGTGCATCTGCTTCGTGAAAAATGTTGAGAAGAAACAAACTTGATGGCTTCTTCCGGCGAGTAAGGTTTCGTGTCAAGCGGTGAAAAAAGGTTTTGCGAAATTCATTATTTTATCGAGTTGTCTTTAGGTGTTTCACTTCACGATTAGTGGGTCCAGCTGGTCTGACTCTGATGGTCAACTTCCACTCACGCGAGTCGAATTTCATGTGGTCGTGTACGCGCAATATTGTAGAGTTTATTTTTTGTTTTGCTTAAAATCAGCATATAAGAAGCTTGAGCTTCGATTTACGTTTATAATCGTTCTGTTTTTGGATCCTTTTTTATGCGTCTGAAGATAGTCTCAAACTGGAGAATCGCAACGCAATTGGAAATTATTTGAAACTATCATATTTGTTTTCCTTCATTTCATTCACATACTCCGCTAATGAACATCTAATAGTTTTTATTCCTTATTTCTCACAAATATTAATATAAATATTAATTTGAATAAAAGTAATTTTTCTACACAATTTGCACTATTATCGTTCAGTCTGAGTTGCAAATATCAGCAAAAATTAAGCATTTAAGCAAGTTGGTTTTTTGACGGTATATTTTCGTTCGTCGGACAAGTCTTGCGGGCAAGAAACTGATTAATTCCTTAATTAATAAGGACACGTACACCTATTTTCGCGGAGTGCTTCAATTTTCACCGTTTCCACGATTCCGAAAATTGTTAGCTTCATTAAATTTACAACGGTATCGACCAGCTGTCTGTGAACGCATTCATCGCATAACCATCGTAACGTACGAAATTTTCATCCCGCGGACTGTACGTTTCGCAAAACGACCGGATCAATGGATTTATTAGTCGAGACATTTGTTGCGTTATTTTTACGCAAATCCGCTATGATAAACGAAAACGTGTCGCGAAACTTCCGCAATCAAAAGTCCTTTAGTTCGTTTGGAAAATTTTTAAACGCGAAACGGTCATTAAAATGATTACCGCTTCCCCGGACAGTTTTACGAGTAATGAGCGCAGACGAAGTTTTGTAAATAATGAGTTCAGAGTTTGTCCATTGCGGGGCCCGCTTATTAAACATTACAAAACGCGCAGCAATTACGCGGCGTTTCTGCTCGTGAAAATTCTGCGAAGCTTCGTTTTGTTACGCGGGAACAAATATTAAATACTACTCCCTATTTCGCGTAAAAATAAATGTGAACGTTGGGACGTAAACGACAATTAGTTACGGTCTAAGTTGCGGATGAAAATTTTGTCGCGATCGAACCGCGGGATTTGTCTCTCGGAGGACTTCCGGTTCGTACTATGGTCGAGACGTACCTATAGATTACGCTGTCCAACAAATTCAAACTTTTTCTCTGCCTCTCAATAACCACTGGATGATCCTTGTAGAGCCGGAAAACAAGAAACTGGAAATCGAATTGTTGTACCACCCCCAGATTTCGAAAAACACGAGTTTTTTTGACAAAATTGAGGTATTACGTGAAAAGTAGAAATATTGGAAGGTTCTAATTGGTCTTAAAAAATACAGGCGAATTTTCTGAATATAGTAGTACAGAATTTATTAATTGTTTTTGGTCCTAGATAGTTATAAATTAATTGTTTTTTTATGATTGTTCGATACATCATTTTTTCAACTTTTATTTCTAGATTTCTGTTCTAGATTTCTGAAATTAATATTTGCATTAATATTTTTTTAATATAAGCTTCATTATCGGTTTTTCAATCGTCTGATCAATTTTTTCACGTTTCGATTAATTATACGTCGAATCTACACTATAATCCTGGACAAAATGCAGTGGTGCGATATTTTCGCAAGTAGCATGGGTGTATTACTAGAGTTCACCTTCTCATTAGATGAACAATATTTCAATATTGTTATTCAAATACGTTGACACAATATTTGCAATAATTTCGATTCTCTTCGTAGTTAAGTATTGGAATAATTAGGCATCAAAATAATATACATTATTTATATAATATTTGAATAGTCTAATATCTGAATAGTATTCATATTTCATTCGACAAATATTCGAGTCACCAAAGCATTTTCATATTTGATAAATAAATCGTCAAGAAATTCTAGCTGTAATTTGTATATGATCGAACAAAATTCTGTTTTTAACTTTGATCTTGTAATTCCGTTTGACGTGGAATTCTTCGTGAAATTGTACACGCATTTCCATGCCTCGTTACGAAAATCCGTTGTAATCTCTATCGCGGCGTGCTCACGGGCCATTTTCATTTTATGAAAATTATCTTCATTAATTCATTAAGTACCGTATTGGAGGAATCGCCGTGAAAGCAAACGCATTAATGCGCGCGCGATAATTACGTCTCTATTGTACAGCTTTGAATTATTTTCATCAGTTATTGATAATCGACGTTCGACGTTTCGGTCTCTGGTTAGCAATTCGATCATTAAGAGAGCACGACAGATTGATGATTTGAAAAATAAGGTGTCTCTCGAATACAATAATTTTGAAACCCAGTCTGCCTATTGTTCGTAAATATTTTAGGAAGCGATTATACGGGCGAAGGTATTCGGTATGTTTTTTACGTAGAATCATCTCCAGGTCTTTTGTTTCACGATCAAGTGATTATAGTTAACTACGATAAGTTGCTCTGATGACTCCTAAATTAGGTTTGGGTAGCGCTTGATGTTCATCCTCGTTTATTATCACTGGTCGTCGATATTTTTGCCCTAACATCTACCAGTATAGACGTTCTTGCGCCGTTATGATGAATTGAGAATCTCTATTCACCACCTTTGACCTGTGTTCAAATCGTTCAAATTGAGCTGATCCCTCATCATCATAATCTTTCAACGAAAGGTATATCTTCTAAGATCCTAGGTAATGTATTCAACAAGAGGTTGAGATTAGCAGCGTCTGAAAGCCGATTTGGAAGTCCATACTCCAAAATCAATGAGGCGGTCTTCCATAATACTCGTTCAAACATTTAACGAAAATCGATGTTGGTGATTTGTTTGAATAAATGCATGAGGATTTGTTAGTTCATATGATTATCGTGTAAACTTAGAATATACGTTGAATGTAGTATAGATGAAAAGACATTCTTTAAATAATATTTTAAATGAACTTAATTCGGAATCAGTTCAATAACTAACGAATATTATCCGGTTATTTATTCGTTTTAACAATTTCTCGCAAAGTTGTAGTACCGAAGAACCTACTTGATCAGAATCCGCCTATTTCCAGTGATCATTGAACGATCGATGTCTCGCTAGATGAAGAACCTTATCCTTTATTAATGGCTACTCTATTCCAGTCTTTCGGTACGTGGTCTCATCTATCTTTCATCCCTAAAATTCGTCTAGCCAGGGTAACGGTTACCGCGGCGGAATAATTTGACGAACAAGGGAATATCGCCTTTTCCATTAAACGGTTATACTATTTTCGGTTTCGTTTTAATCGTATCGGCGGGCCGTTTTAAATAGACGCCGCGAAACGGCTCGCACGGGCGTCGTTTCGAATCTCTGTCTGTCCGTGACTCGAACGTCCAGACGCCAGTGAGGATCATCGACGGTGCCTCGCTGACCCAGTTGCGAACGGTTCCAGATGGAATATGGGATCTGGAGTCTTCACGCCGCGGGTGAACTTTGGGGTGACCCGCGTCTCGCCCGAAGGCACCCGATTCTGCCGCCAAGCGCGACGCAGCTGCTCCCGAGGGCAGCCTTCGCCCTGAGCGCCCTTCATCGGCCAGACATGGTGCCGTTACCGCTGACGTCGCCCGGACCACCGTACGGGCCCATGGAACTGGTCACAAAGCCATCCGTCGCCTCCAGCGAGGGCGACGTCGAGAAAAAGGATGCTGAGCAGGACGATGATCAGCAACCACGCGACGACAACGAAGGAAACATCGAAATACCAGACGAGAATGATAATCAGGTATACCCCATGACGCCCACGGAGTCGTCGAACTTTTTTATTAGGTATTATATCAACACTAGAACTACCAAAGCAGTCAAATTGACCCAATCGTAATTTCTAATAAAACTAGAAAATTATACATTTCTTCACCTATCAATTACAAATAAATACATTATAATTATCTGCAATTCTAGTGTTAATGGTCTTTGCAAGTAACAAACGGTATTTCAGAAATAGATCGTCAAACTTTGACATCGTATTTTCCTCCCTTCATGGATGAACAAAATTATATAAACGTTGGTTTATGCAACTCTACCAGTTTTCCCCAACATACAGAATTTGGCTTGAAATATTAAATTTATTTATGTAGTAAAATTATTATCAAACATAACATGCTTGATTTATTTAATAATTCAATGTCAATTATGTTTGTCGAGAAACGACACTTGGAATATTTTATATAAAAATCGAAATGACTGTACGCTGATACGTTACTTTTATATTCGATGGAAATAGAGACTGAAAAGCTTAACGTATTCACGACTCCGATTTTTGCAGTTAATGTCGTTCCCGGCGGAAAGAAAATCGTGTCCTTTTGGAAGACGTTCATGGCATTTCGCCAGTAGTATTGCTAGCTTCATCGTAGGATACTGATTATCAGTATCAGTCTACTTCTAAATCCCGGTTGAAAACAGCTATTCTTACCAAATGGACCACGAGTTACATCCGATGTTTCTTAGATAATATCAACTGCAGAAAGTCCCAGAGATTTAAGGAATTATGTCAGGGTAACAGGCTAAAATATAAGATGGTCTCTGGTAATTTCTGTTGAAAACGTCTATGCAGTTATATCGAATATTTATCTATTATCTACAAGTACTAAACTATAAATCTACATAAATTTATTCCATAAATTTCACACAAATTAGAATTTGTTAATAGAATTCGGTTAAAACGTTTAGTATAGTTACATATTTGTCGCATTAACGTCACCGTGTAAATTAAAATAAAATTGGACGACGCAATTAGTTTCTTTTTGATTGTACAGACGTCCGTACCAAAAGAAACCAACGACAACGAAGACGCTGGGGAGGAAAGCGACAGCGGAAGTACAAACAGTTCCCATCGCTCGGCCAACAATAATCTTTCGACGAAGCTGCTCGATCCGATGGCTTACCTTGCTTTCGATAAGGTACGTCGAATTCGATTGACTTCACAAATTAAATTTCATCGAATTGCAATAAACGTAAAAGTAGGTAATTCAAGAAAAAGAGTAACGAATGCGGCTGAAATAGGAGATTATCGATTAGCAAAACAATCGGTCAGAATGGACCAATGGCGAGGAACACTTAATTCAAGTACCATTTCGGGATTTGACCGGTCACAGCAAGGATCGATTTTATTGTCGAAGCTTTGCAATGTTGCGAATTAAATTACTCGAGTCTCGACGTGGTCAAGCTGCTCGAGAATTGAGCGACTCTAATCTTAATTTTATATTCCTCCTTTCATTTTGCTCTTCATTATTTCCTCAGCGTGATTTCGCTTGTTTATCTGTCGACTATGTTGTTCGAGTTAACTCGGGTCACAGCAATTACGTGGTTAGTCGTTTGTATAATCTGTTCAAATTAATTATGTACTAATAAACTATCGAGCAAGTGGAAACTGTTTAAACGATTAATAGCGTCGCGTCCAACGCAGGGTCTAATAGATAAACCATTATTCGATCGCACAGTTAAATTTTTGTTTGCTCGTTGTGAAATAATTTTATTCTATTATCGAAACTTTTATTTTTACTTAACGAGCGACGGGCGAACAGTTGCTTGCTTTTCATTCGTTATTCGAAATTTTTATTTGCAACTTCCACAATTTTTAAACCACTGTATTAGAGGTGTTCACGTAAAATTAAACGAATCACGCAATCGTATTAATATTTCGATTTTATAATAGGAAGGAACGGTCACACCGGTTCTAAATGGCTGGGTCCTCGGAGCATACACCGCCATGCTTGGAAGACTGTCTGCGGCGACGGCGGCCCTCGAAGCTACAGAGATCCCAAACATTCCCTCCGACAGCGACTCCGAGAGCGAACATTCGTCTTACACCGAGAAGTATGCATCCTCGCCAGTTACCAACCCTTTCCAGTCAAAGTGGTTTACATAAGAACCTACTTAATGCCGTGGCCGGCACACGAGGCGTTTAAATTTTTCTTTATCCCGGCGGGTCAGATAAGCTGCATGGCTGCGTAAAGTCACGGACCTCTTTCAGGGCAAAACTGGACGCATAATGGGCCAGAAGTCGTTCGTAACGCGACATAAAATAAACGAATGATTTCAGTGAGAATTAAACGTAATCCTTGGTTTAGATATTTTATTTTATTTATAGATTGCCAAGTGTGGTTCTCACTGAAATCGGACGTATGACGTTCAAACGCAAGGTTTTATTTAGGGTGCTACGAAATCGATAAAATGAAACCAACGAATCCATCGAACTAGAAAGCAAATGGTCCTTTCTATTCAACGACACGTGGGCGTTTCAGATATCTGAAACATCCCAGATAAATGATATCGTAAATCAAAAGCTTCGAAGGATATTGACCGATATTGAGTTATGGGCGTTTCGCGCGTACCGATTCCAAAATTTGAAATGCATTTTAATCCTTTGATACCCTTGTTCTTTTCTTGCTGCGGAATATTGAATACTGTTTGAATTTTCCAACGTTGTTTTAAATGGAAATTTCCGTATGAACGTAAAAATTATAGCGGTTTGATATATTAGGATGCTCCTGAAAATATTACATATTTTAATCACTTTGCTTCTTGCTATTTTGAAACCATATATAAAGCACATATTATGTAGTGATACATTGTTTTAAAATTATTTTCATGCTAATTACAAACATATAGGAAAAGTTTTAATACAGACCATTCGAATTTTCTTCACTACAAATTGTACTAGAGTCAGAAAAATTCAAAATTTTTTAAAAGTAATTTGTATTCTATTTATTTTAATAAACCAAGAAAAGAGCACAAAAAAAGTAAATGGACAAGGTTAATCAATAACTGAACTCTATCTAAATAAATACAAACTTGGTGGGGATGGTTCCATATTGTCATTTGAAACCGAATGTTGGCACACAATGTTTTGTGGACCATGCAATTGAACCTGAATCGTCCGAGTCTTTTATACAATTTGCTCAATCGATCAGCAACGCAATGTACGCAAAATTTTGCATCGTTCCAACCGATTTCCAGGTCGCGAGGTAGCAGTCCAAACGTGAGCAATGCTCATCGCGGTTACTCCTGCGGTTCCTGCGACGTGGTTGCACCGACGAGACCGGCGCTAAGGAAACACATTGTCGATTGCCATCCACCTGTCTCCAGCACGGAAACAGGAGAAACGAAAAGTTGTCCGTCCTCGGGCTGTGACTTCATAACGAGCAGCAGGTGCGAAATGGAGACCCACGTGGCGGCGCACGTGGCACAGGGAATGACACCGACAGGGAAGAAACGAAGCCTGGCATTGCAACGCGTCAGGTACAGGTACTCAAAATTTTTCTACAACATTTTACCGACGCCTGTTCGTTTATTATTCGCAAGTACTCGAAGTTCGAATCGAAAAATTAGTAATGAAAAACAAAATTCTCAGTGATGACTTGTCTCCTTTGTCAGTAAGATATGTTTCTAATATTGACATAATAATTTGAATAAATGTTGAGGATGACCCAGTATATCTGAGGATGTTAAAGAGAAGAAAAATTGACTTTGCACACAATGCATTAGAGTTTAAAAGCTTCGATGCACGATCTTATAAAGTGAAAATACCGAATCGAGGTTTGGATAACGGAAATGCCAGGTAATCCCGACTTATTGTGCTCTCTCGTGCGCAGATACGAAAGAGAAGAGTACCGTTGCTCGCTGTGCTCGTACGCCTGCACCATCGAGAAGGCGTTTCAGAGGCATTTAAGGGCCCACGCGAAGGGCACAGCGCCAGAGACCAGGGTGAGCTGCGCGGTTTGCGGCGCCGACCGATCCTCCGAAGTCGATCTCAGCAGACACATGAGAAGGCATCGCGACGACCGGTATTTCTGCTGCGACATTTGCATTTTTCGCACGGTCCAACTGAAAAAGGTAATATTTCTCCCGCCGTTGAAAGGGTAGCTCGGAGCATCGAAGCTCCGCACTCGAGCAACGGGTAGAATTTCAAAACACGACAGCGAACGAAATCTATGGACTCGGATTGTTTTTAGATTTTTATCCGCGAGACAGCCGTATAATCCTCAGTCGATCGTAAATCCAACGATACCCTGCCAGACCTTTACAATTTTATAGAATACCTGGGATACATTCTATTCTGCCTTTTAATCAAAAGTATGGCTTTATGTAAATACTACGCGATCCTGTCAGTGATCCTCGAATGTATTCGCGATCGATACGTAGTGGGTCAAGAGAGTATTCCCTTACAATTGAGCTGGCTTTTTTCAAAACTAATATACAAGTCCAGTTTTGGAAAAAGTGCAATTATATTGTAATGTATTTCTTTTTAAATAATTTGTAGTTAGGATACGATAGTATTATTTTCTTCCGAGGTAATGTTTACATGTTAGCGTCGATGTGTTCTGGAGTAGTTTTGAAGCTAGTTAGTGACTTGAGATCACGTATGTAGCTATCGAACTTTGAAGGATGATTTGTTGAGAAGAATGCATATTCAGAAGAGACAGGTGACCCAAAGTTACACTGTTGAAGAACAACGATTTTATCTTAAAGGATCTGGCCACAGAATGGGGAAGGTGGAATCACCTTTTGGTAGAATCGAGCTACATTTCTAATATGTAAAATTGTAAAACATGATAATCACGCAATTTGTTATTCGAAATACGTGGACTAAGTTGATATAAAATCGAAGATTCGTAGGTGTACGAGTCGGAGGAGTTCCCTGTAAGATCGACGATTGGCCAACAACGAGTTATTAATATTCTCTGTTTTGTTTTAGCTCATTCAACATCGTCGGATGCACACGGGCGAGAAACCTCACCTTTGTCCTCACTGCGCGTACAGAAGTGCCCGTCGCGACAACCTACGAAGCCACGTAAGACGAGTCCACAAAAAGGAGAATCTCTATTGCGACACGTTCAGTCCACGCGGTATGTTATTAACACCTACGATCGGAAGAGATACTCCTCTCGTGCAGAGTCCGGAACCATCGCCGTCCTCCAACACGGAATCCACTAACTAGCGAAGTAACTCGTCGATAGAAGCGAACATGAACGATTCGAGCGGATAGTCGTCGCCTCACACGTCCTAACTTTGTCAATATTTCCGACTTAGGTGTTAGAATCGCGGATGAGGTTTTACATCGGCAAAGCCAATCGTGCCGTCACCGTTTAAGCTACTCTGGAGATCGACGTCTTTATCGAGAAACCCACGCTACGACATAGAGGTCCCCAATAACCGATACCAGGAGACATTACGTTTGTAAATGTTTCAATTATATTCCAATTATATTCCTAATCTCTTTAAGACGAAAGTAATTATTATGCCATCGATTTCTGCGAATGCTGTGCAAACGTGCGAACAGAATTTGTTGTCTGTGTCAGTTTGGAGGATCAGTGACGGCCGCAATGGTCAGAAGTTGACGATTCGCGATTCTCGAACAGTATCGTCCATATGATTTCAATAAATATTTTAGAAATTTATCTTTTCACCGCTGTTTGGAAACGTTTGAAGTATTGCTTTGTCGCGGTTACGATTTGTATATAATTCTAATGACGCGAAATGAAGCATGACGGAAGACACGGATGAAAGTAACGAAGAAAAAGAGTGCAACTTCTGACTACTAACGATAAGGTTTGCCCATAGTAAATAGGAAACATATAGAGAATTGCATGCGAACATCGATAATTTAATCTAATCTTCAAATTCTAACGAGATCTTATATTAGTCGATTTAATTATCGGAATTCATTCGTTGATCAGACGATGATGAACGAGAATAAAGCTGCGCAATGGTGCTAGAATCGTAGACTGGAATTTATAGAGGAATTTCTTTCGTTTTGCTTTTATTAAATACGACCTCACTTTGCCAAACGAAGTTTCTACTTAAAATACGTTCTATATATTTAATATATTTCTCTATTTTTTTTTATTACGAATTAAACACACAGGCCTAATAATATGTTCCAATATTTCCAAGTATTTTAACAACTCCAATTTATTGTTCTCGTTTCAATTTGTTGAGCTTTCTGTTTTGTTAAATTTACGGGACTTTCCCTTCGCATAAAGAGAAATAGAATTTAGAATAAATATATTCGAACAGGTCGAATTTTTTTGCGCTACTCGAAATATTTAAGCTGTTTGAAGCAAATGTTCGAGCGTTTCGAAACGCAATCGCGCGCTTCGAAAGCAACCGAGTCGCTCGTGTTGTATTCGAGTTGTTCGGAAGAAACGAACTGCTCGGTACATTCGAGTTCTCGTACAGCTCTAAGTGGAAGACTGAAAGTAGGAACGCTTTACGGCGCGTCATCGTCCTTTGTTTCTCTTTGCGTCGATCGCCGTTTATTCGAAGAGAATCAGCGATTATTAAAGACTGCTATCCTGTATTAATGGCCAAGAGACGCTCGTGCCTCAAAATAGTTTTAATTGCTTACTGCGAAATTTCTAAAACCTCAAAGCGGATCGCTTATAACGAATAATCGATTTGATATCGTTTAACGTTGACTACAGTTCATTTTTACTGTAATACTTGTTGAATTTTACCAGTCACAGAGCTGATTTAACGTACTGGCACTATATTAAAATTTGACGATGGCACGAGATCTCTGGACTATGTGAAAGGTGCTATTTTGCAAACATAATTTTACTCTCTCATCCTCCTGTATTTAGCTCTATCCGTATTATAATTATCCGATCTGTAACTATGATTGTTGATACCGTATTATCGATAACGATATACATTGTTATTATTGCTATTATTATCATTGCTATTATTACTGTTTAGCGTGTAACGAAAACGTGGTACTATTCTTACGGGAGTATTGCGATCGCAACAGGTGTAGCGTACCATATGTTCGTTAACTGAGGGAAGAGTAGTCGAGAGAATTTTATCAAATTTCATAGAGATAGCGATAAGAGGTTCGAAAGTTTTCTGCTGTGGTCAATAAGTATAACCGCCTAAATTATGTGAAACGATACGATACTTTCAAGTAATATTATTTAACGTTTTTATATTAACCATTAGAATGATGGTACAACTATACGAAGAAAAAAAAATAATATAATAATAATAATAATACAGAATGCAGGATTTTCCAACGAACAGTAACTTTTTATGTGTCTCAAGTAACTTTTAAGTCGAAAGTGTAAGCCAGCGAGTTGTATGATTGTCTGCAAGCGAATTCCCGATGCGCGCACTGGCTTTACTCTATCCTCACTTAACGTCGGATAGAAATTAATAAATGGCAAGTTTTTTCCTCTTTAGGATCGAAGACCGTCCCCGACGACTCTACCGTACATTTTCTGCTAAAAAAAAAAAGAAAGTGGGGTAGGAGGCGATAAGGCAGAAGCCGATCCATATAACATAAATGTGTGTCAATTTTTAATGTATCATAACTACGTTCTAGTCGGTAACGGATTTTATGGGGAAGATAACAAGGCACGGGAAGAGGATCTATGCTCCTCGATGCGCAACGTTACGGCCGCGATTGTACGCTACGTTTTTTCTCGTCCAAGACGCCTGTATTCGCATTCAGAAAATCAAGATCGGTCCCCGAAGCGACTGAATTACTGCAAGGAACGCAGTTACGATTGATCGAATCGCGTACGAAACGCTTCCACGTAAAAATATTATACAAACTGCGATTGGAATTTAATATATCCAATTTTGGATAAAATGGGTTTAACAATTTCAATGCTCGACTAAACAGGAAGTAGTATTACACTGCTCAGAATAATTACGGGGTTTACTTACTGAAACAAATTTATATATTTATTTCAATTATGTAATATTAATTTGTAATCGGTCAATATTACGATTTACGAAGCATCAGAACAATTAGAATCGAGTCACAGTCAAATTACATTTAATAGGAATACAAATGAAACGTTTGATAAAAATACTGACCTGTTAACCCATTTATGATTTGTATGCTACATATAGTCCACCTTTAAAACAAATATTCATAGAAAATGAGGCAGCACCGTGTTTGTATGTAGAGGGAACCATCGTATGTAAAGTAATCGCTATTGTTTATGTTCTAGTACGTTTTACGAGACCTCAAATTTTCACTTTAGTCGTAAATGGATTGAATATGCAGCATTTCTTTTGCTTAGAGTAATGAATTTATTCTTTAAAATTATGTAAAGTTTTATCTTAATTAATTTTAACAGTCTGTGCAGTATTTTGTTCATTCTTAATATTAATCGTTTTGAAATTAATATATATGGGTTATGGTTACTCATTGGTTACAATAACGTTTCTAAAATTCGATCAATCGTAATGGTAATCGCAAAAATTACTAAAGAGAACTATACGCACTTTTCTCTGTACGCGTACGTGTACAGTATATATAGGGTGTGACGTAAATTGTGATACAACCGGAAAGGGAGTGACTCCGCGTATAAAAATAAGTCCGAAATGTGGAACATATTTTCTTTGCACGAGGATCCAGGCTTCGAGAAAATTCTCATTGAAAATGTATTTATAAATATTGGCCACGTTACGATAAACTCTGAACGAGTTTAATAATTTGGCTTAATAAGTTGCATTGTCAAAAGGTCTATACAATTCTGTCTCTTAATCTATTGTACGAATTAATGCATTGATCTCTTCGGAAAAGAATTATTTTCTTTTATATAATCAATGTTTGATCAATCTTGTAACGTTGTTATTATGCTACACTATTGTGTAACACATCTATTTTACAATGTTAAAAATAACTTAGAGTATCAGTATTCTTAAAGAGATTAATACGAGCTCATAAATAAGAATCGTGCGAAGAGACACATCGATCATGGGGGCCAAAGCTACCAGAAGACACGTCCATATAGTTTCGATTATTCCATCAACTACGAATCAAATAAAATATTAAGAATGATGCCGTTTGACAATGTTTATAAATGCAAGCGCAAAACGAAGCAATTTATAGCAAGATTCACGAATCGCGTTGACTGAAATTCAAAGCTTTAGTATCAGCGTTCGTGGTTTCCGGGATAGATGATTTACCAAAATTAGACGCAGCATCCATCCGTGAGCCGCGAATGGTGGGGGGTGGTTTCCCAATAGCCTCGAGAGAACGCTTTTCAATTTTGTCGGAAACGATTGTGTCGACAACAATAAACTGCGCGCGCAACCGACAAATTTAACAGGCGAATTATCTCGAAAACCATGCCTCGTGCGAAAGAAAATCAATTCCGCGCTTTCCACCGACCTTTTACCGGGGAAGTGGCCTCGTTCGATCGATTGTGCCACGAGTTACGCCACGGTCCCGTATACTTTCTTGCTTTTGATATATGTATATTGTATTTAAATGATACTTTATATTTGTGATGGATTTATTCCAGGCGGCATATGGAGCGTGTTCGCGACACTTTTTATATGCATGATTTTACATGTGTGTGCTAGCGGACTTCCCTTGTTAACGCGTAGATTGGGGAGGGCTGGGGAGGGAGGCAGAGCTGAGGAGGATCGTCGTCTCTTTCGTTTTTTCGGACTTTCGTAATGCACGCGGATGCGATGCTCTCCTACGTGAGATGTAATATTTTTGGTACCGGACGCGCCGCGATATCGCGGTGGATGATATCGCGGAACGACGATTGTTGATTGTTGGTATATACTGATGCGTTGTGTATCGTACACGATAACGATATTCTATTTTTGATAACCGCTCGATTGATTATTCCATTTAGAACGATTGGTCCACGGCCGCGTTTAGATAATTTCTAGCCTTTAAGATTTCGCGAACGTATTCGACACGCCGCGCGCGTCATCGCTTTCCTTTCGTTGACGTTGCATAAAAAAGCTCGCACGAGGACGATCTTTTCACGGGGAAACGTCACGGGCGCCGGGACACTCTTCGAATAGTGATGGGAAAAGTCAGAGATGGGCAAAATTCTCGTCCAAGCGACGAATTTCGTACAACGAATGAAAGATAAACGACCCTTGTTCCGTTATTGGTTCAGTCAAATTCTTTCGCATTTGAGTAAACCATTGTATAAAGTTTTTATTCGAATCAAATTCTGTCCATCTCTGGGCTTATTCAAATTGAAGCGTTAAGTATTGACTTTAATTGTCATCGATATAGTTAGGATAAGCTTGTTGTTGTTTTTTACGATTATTACTGTTATTTTTGTATATGTTACTTCCTCCTATATTCGATACATTCAGCACGATGAATTATAGAAAGCACATCGGATTCCAAATTCAA